GTGCCTTTCCGCTAGCTCGTGTTTGCTTTTCTTGCGTGACCGGAAAGACCAACACCTCCCAGGCCGAGCGTCCGTGGAGTTGCACACTACGGGGCAGAGGTGATCGGAGCACCAGTGCATGCCCACACAGCCTGGCGGCTGTAAAGACCCTTTTAGACCCCGCCCCGTCCTCCGGCAGTCCTTGGCTGGGGCTTGTCAGCTGGCGGAGATGTGACACGTGGCTGGAGTGAGGTGCAGATGATCCCTTTGGTTTTTCTAGACATTTGGATCCAGCAACTGTATTGCTTCATGAATTGATTTCAATCCCAAGTCGTCCCTGGCAATAAACTTGATTGCGGTCTTTGTCCCTCCCCAACGGGCAACTCAAAGCAACCAATGCCATGGCAACAAACATAGCAGTAATGGGCAACCCCTTCGTGCCATTGCTAGGTCCTCCACTACAGAGGTGAGAATAAGGGTACCCTTTTTCTGTAGTCTATTTTAGTAGGGGAACCCTCCCCCAAAACAGGGCAAAAGGTCACTACTGGGGGGCCTACATTGTTTACTCCCTGTAAAGGCTGTCTTCCTTGTGGCGCATGCAGTCCCCGAGGTCCTGAAACACTTGTGACGCGTGTTGTCGCTGATCATGCAAACAGCCCGTGAGGGCTCCCACCTGTGCAAAACATACTTACCGACTGCGCAGGAGTTTGCAAACACACTACGCCTAATCGCACCAACCAACTTCTCAACCCTCGGTCCGGTCTGTCGACCAAAACGGGTCCCATCATGTCAATGAACATGATCCCAACAACATTCCGAACAAGTTCCCAGCCCCGAACACAAGTCATCTGCCAACGCCATGGGCCGTACGAAGATCGCCGGACAAGACTCACTTGGCCTGCCATGGGCTGTACAAATGTGTCATCCTGTATGGCTTTGTCGTGCAGGCATGTTGCAACTGTGGGTTCACCCCATTGATTTCCTCTGCAAAATTGGGCCGACCCCATTTCAGGCAGGCGACATTGAACATGCAGCCCGCGCATTTGCCCCAAAACAAAAAAACGCGGGGGCGGACTTTTGAAAGGAGTTTTTCTAGTCTCGACCCGCGGATCCTTGCCTTCACAGGCGGGGGGCGTGAAGCATGAGTTCTGCTCCTTCTCGCAATGCGCAGGGCAGCCATCAGCTTTCGGGCGGCATAGGGTGCTGTTGCCTTGGAATCGGAAGCTGATGAAATCAGCTGGGCCAAGCCGCCTTTGTTTGGGGGTACCTGGGCCCTCAGACTGCCCATCAAACAACGGGAATTCACACCATATTTGTGGCAAACACACTTGTTTAAGGGAATTCTGACTTTCCAGGTGAGTCGAATTCAGTTCCAGATTGCTGTCGGGCAGCGAAGGCAAGCGAATAGTTTATGACCCTCTCAAGACCTACAGCAGAGGCTTCAGTTTTACCCCCCCTTCCTCAGCATTGCCTGGCTTAACACATGCATGTACAGAAGAATTGTTTCCTGCGAGCAGGAAGTTGCGCTTGAAAATAATCTAATGTCTGTGGCTCAAAAACATGTACCAAAATAGCACCTTGGTAAAGGCCACCAAAGACTAAACCCGTGTAACCCTAGCTCTTTAAATTTGAGCCACACCCTACTGTGGATGGACGAAATCCTGCACCACGTTGAACCCATGGGAAACCATTATTTGTTGGTATTTACAGGGGGGGATCCTCCTTCCGGGGTTTCTTGGGTGGTGCGAAATGGATTTCGTCCACCCACGGTATATTTCAAAGCCTCTTGGAGATTGTACCTTGCAAGCTCTGGGGGTCCCAGTTTCGGGCCACAGGAAGGAGAGCTTTAACGCGAGAGCTTAACGTTTGTAGCGAACGGGATGCGTCACAGGACTTTCGAGATGCCATGCAAACGCTGGACCTTCGCTAGGTCTCGGGGGATAACGAGCTCACCATGATAAAGGTCCTTTGCTAGGGGGTCCCTGAATTCAGCCTATGGAATTTTAGAGTAACATGTGCAGATGACTTGTCGAGATATACGACCTGTGACTCGTGACCACCTTGAAATAGCATAGTCTAAAAGCGGCCTTGGCCAAAGTGAAAGGCCCAGTTGTGGGACAGTGCCTCCAGTGGAGAGGTTAGAATAAGGGTACCAACCTTTTTCTGTAATTAGTCTGTTTTAGTAGGGAACCCTCCCCCAAAAAAGGGTACAAGGGCACCGAGCTGGGGGACCTTGTTCATCTGGACCTTCATGGATGGCAAGGCCATTCATTCAATGGATGAAGAGCCGCAAATCCAGGAGCTGGCAAGACTATGCCGACCAAAGAGCGGCAAGCAACCGCTATATCAATCACTCACAAGGCAGGTAGCGGACTGCCCGGCTTGCCACGAATGGTGCAACAAGTTAGAGTCTGAGTGCACGTCTCCCCGACAATTGTTGCATTTCCCTTCATCTCGGGTCCGGGATGGTGTCTTTATGTTTGCTAAGTTGGAAGCCTCTCTCTGATGCCCAGTGGACATGCGGAAAAAACGCATCTGTTTTGGTTGGTTGATCTGAAAGGCGAACCCTTCCCTCCAAAAGTTAAAAAAAAGGCGGCGCTGGGCAACTGGGGCCTCATTGCGAATGGTGCTCTGGCATTCAGCTTCAAGCTCTGCCCCCAAGCAAAAACCATCTGCTCAAGTATTCATGGGCATGCCCCTTTCGCAATTAGTCTCAAGCCAAGTTGGGATGCGCCAAGTAACATCCGTGCTTGACGCAGAAACAAGTAGATCCCATACGTGAAAAGGCCGAAAGGGGTGATGTATGTGTCAACAGCTTAACATGGCAACAGGGCAATTTCCCGTGTATTTTCGCAGCGATCCAACAACTCCCTAAGAGAACCCAACCCCACGCCTGTTCATAGGTGACCTTTTGGAATATTAGATGGCCCTGGTAAATGGAACAAAGCCTATCTAAACCTGGAGTCTCCTTCTGAACCTCAAAAAATGGGGGTCACCCAAAAGAATGGTTGGTCATTGGCCCATTTGTGAAGGGTCACAAGGAGACTCCAGGAACCAGTGGAATCCATTTCTGACGAAACTGACCCTTCTTCGCCCGGATGCCATGAGGGCAGCTGACCTCGTCAGCCTTGCAGGTGCTGGGGCACGGATCAGTGGAGCACCAGTTCACCTCGGCGATTGCCCCTGGCCGGGGTCTCTCCACTACTTCCGGCTTTTTTTTGGGGGGTGGGCCCCTGGAACACACTAGAAAATATGTCAGTGAACCATAGATTCCCTAAACCAACAATGGAGCATACAAAACCGTTGCTTTCAGCAAATGGAAGATTATGTCAACGTCAGCTTTGGATTGCTGGTGGACTATAGCAGGGGCGGCTCCCTTTTCCTGGAAAATTCTACGTTAGGGGATTTTCTGAATAGCATTGTCCTTTGAAGCCCATCCGAAGTTAAGGTTAATCTTGCGCTACCACGGACAAATCATGGCAAAGGAGTTCCAGGAACCGTCCCATAAGCCCATTGAAAAGGCGGTCGCAACGGAGCTAACGCAACAAAGGCAAGTTTGGCGGGAAGACCCCGGCACAAGTTGGATTAAAATCCCGTCCCTTGGAAGGCTCAATCAGCGCAGTTGCCCAGTTCAGACCCAGAATGATGAGAGCCCGTCCTTGAACCTGCCCTTTGCCCAAAGACCCTATAACAAGACTCTGTTAAGGTTTGGAGGAATCCGGGAAGGGGGCGCTAGGGACGGGATGGTGTGATCCTATGAACAAGGGCAGCCATTGCAGTGTGGGATGTTGGGTCTGCGGCAGAACGGCTTCGAGCTCGACACCTCAAAGTTTATTGTGCTGGGCGTTGCTTTTCTGATCTGTGCAACTTTGCGCCAAGATCCGTCTTTTCACAGGCGAGAACAGAGCTGGATACCAACTGAGCACAGAACGAAACACGATGAAACGCTTTGGCCCTCACGGTTGCGGCTAAAGATTCAGTTGAGGACTTTTTTTTGACCATGTGCAGTGACATCCAAATGAATATGTTATTTTTAAGGGTATGCCCCCTTTTGGTTGGTTTTAAAGGGGGTGCCAAAAGGAACAACCAGTTTTGGGGGTCCAACCTTGCCAAAAGACACACCAAAACGCTGGAATCCGGGTGCCCCATGAGAATTCTAAGTTTTCCTTTCAGATGGGCTTCGCGCGCTGTCCTGTGGCAGCGATCGGAACTCCATTGACGAGAAATGGGATTGCTAAAAAATAGGGGGATCCCAACATTGCGTTTTTCAAGCCATCCCAAAACGGTTACCGAACACACACACACACACACACACCCACACCCACACCCACACCCACACCCACACCCACCCACACACACGCACCAAATGTTTCCGTGTCCGAGCGAGGTGCTGCCACACAGTCGGTGCAGTTCGCAGCACTTTGGCATTCCTCAGCGAGTTGGGCGGTTTCAAAGGGAAACCAAAGGGAAAAACACGAAACCAAGGGAAACCAAGGGAAACCAAGGGAAACCAAGGGAAATAAAAATAATCCAAGGGAAATTAAGGGAAACCAAGGGAAACCAAGGGAAATTAAGGGAAACCAAGGGAAACCAAGGGAAATTAAGGGAAACCAAGGGAAACCAAGGGAAATTAAGGGAAACCAAGGGAAACCAAGCTTTGGCGGTCCCTTCCATATTTTGACACGTAGCCACAAACGTGGGTCTTCGGCTTCCTCGCCTGCAAGCCAAACAGTGACCCTGGGAATAACCAGGTTTCAGGTCAGCTGGTGTAGGTGGCAAAAAGGTCCTGTAGCCATCCTCTTATCTAAGTCCTCCAGAGAGGTTAGAACAAGGGTACCCTTTGTTTTTTTCCTGATTTGTCGATTTTAGTAGGGGAACCCTCAGGTACCAACTTCTCCTGTAGTCTATTTTAGTAGGGGAACCCTCATTTCGGTCGGGCTTTCAGCGTGCAGTTCATATCTAGATCCCAACGGCCAACCAAACAACGTCTAACTTCTCATAAAAATCTTGGCAATGCACTATTTGCACTGCTGGCAGAGAAGCTCAAGCGGTGATTCCTGCTAGAGACCAGCGGCTTCTCACCAATTCTCAGCGCGGACGGCGCCTGTTGGCCACAACAACTGGGCCAAAACACCCGCCAAAACCCCCACATCGCCCGCAAGAATGAAAGGCAAACGCAAACTCTTCCAAAATCCGCCATCCAACACGGAACGCTTAGAATGCCTACCTAGAAAATTGGAATTTGCGGGATTGTCCAGGCAGGACCAGTTTCCAGAAACTGCGATGCATGTTGGCTTCTGTACATGTGCTATGGGCGTTGATTGATGCATAGACTTGATTGACGTTGGAAGGGGAGCAAACATTTCTCAAATTTTAGCAGTTAAGTGGTTGGATTCCAGCCACTAAACCACAATAAGCAAAAAAGTACAATGTTTCCCAACGGCAACCATGTAGAGCCATAAAAGCATGCAACACGCAATGCAGCAATGCAGCAATGCAGCAATCGATTCGAACACGGCTGTGGGACACCACTTCTCTAGGCTGGAAGTCTTGGACCCCAGCAAAAAAAATGAGTGAGATCTGTTTGGCCTGGTGAGTGGACCCAAAAAAAGCGGGAAAAAATAGAAGAAACAAAAAGGGAGCTAATTTTGGGGAAGTTCTGTGATACACCAAAAAGGGCTTCCCAAAGACTAACCCGCCATAAGGGAGAGATTCTCTTGCATCCCACAACTGAGGATTCGAATTAAGCCAAGGCCTTGCTGCTTCATGCTCGCTCCAGTTTAGCAGTTTATGGCTCAGGTTGAAGAGGCGAATCCCCGTTTTGCGGAAGCTGAAATTTGATTTGCTGAAGCCCCCTGGAGAAAAAACACATATTTTGTAATAGTGTCACTATGGAAATGAAAGATTCCCTTTAAAACCAACGCCCCAGGAAAATAACCACTATTTTTAAGGCAATGCAAGTGATAGCATCACAAGTCCCGGCCTTGTGATTGCCAACGGAGAATAACTTGGGGGACGACCCTAGGCAAACATCCAACCTGCTCTGAAAACACAACTTGACATGAATAGATTGACACAAAGGACCGAATCTGAAAATCAGAAGGCAACAATATCAATGCCCTTTGCGCAGTTGACATTCTGTGTCAAGAAAGTGCCCTGCCCTCAATCACGAGAAAGTGACAGAGAACAGCGGCTCGCGGGACAGGTGGTGTGCGGAAGCACCAAAGTGCAGGGGCTCCAACTTTTCAAGATTTCTGTGGGCTCCTCCTTCCGTGCAGGGAGTTGACGCCAAGCCCCACGCCTCGCGTGGATTGGGGGCCGAGGCTCATGCTCGTGGTGGCTGCACTTCACCGGGCAGCCCTCCGACTTCTTGTGGCAGCTGTACACCTGGCAGGCAGGACTTCGCCGGCCGGCTCAGTGACTCGGCCAACCACCCGTGCCAACCAACCAACCAACCAACCATCCATTTATTTAATTATCCAACCATCCAACCAACCAACCAACCAACCAACCCAACCAACCAGCCAAGATATGCACAAGACAGGGGAAAGGGACCTCCTGAAAAAGTTGCGGTTCTTTTCTACAAGCACTGCTTGTTCCGTGTTTCTCCACGTCTTCGCGTTTGTGGAAGACCCAAGCTCCCCAAAAATTCCCACTCCCCAAGGAAAACCCCCATGTTTCCCTGGACAATCATGCGCCGTGGCTCCAAGCTTCGCGATCCACCCACAGCATCTTACCTTCCTTTGCTTAAGCACCCCGGATCAGGAAAAAAAACATACTTTCCAGTAGTGAGAAACTCCCTTTAAAGCCAACAGAAAACAATAAACAACATACGTGGAGTCTCCATGACCCTAAAAAAGTGGGGTCATTACCGTCATTACCCAAAATAATCGGGGCATTGACCCATTTTTAATGGGTCATGGAGACGCCGGGTACTCATTTCAGCAACTGGAGGCTTGGGGAAATCGGATGGAGAGGTGCGGCGGGTTTCGACGTGGCGGTTCGGCCTTCTCGTCGTTCCCGCAGGCCACCTCCTCTTTGGTGCAGTTGGGCGCGCAGGGGGCGGTGGAGCACCAATTGCTGCCGTAGCCCTCCTAAGCGACTCTGTCCTCCAGTAGAGAGAGGCGAGAATAAGGGCGCCCGATTTTTTTTCTTTCTGATATATAGATCTATTTTAGCAGGGGAACCCTCCCAACCAAAAAAGGGGGTGAGAAGGGCACTACTACGGGACCTAGGCGAGGTCAACAAATACAGCTCTCATAGCTGCCAAGAACGCCATATCCGTCCCTTCCGACCGAGGGGCTGAACCAAATAAGCAACTGTGGGATTCAAGTCCGAAACGGAACTCAGGGAGCGAGGTTCAGAGGGGCTGAGATCAGGGCACTTGCGCTGAGTGTTGCTATCTGCGACTCAACGCTGATTGCCTCCAGCCAGCAAAAATTGCGAAGAGGTCCCTGGAACAAAATGACAATACTGTAGATGGACAAAATCCATTTCGCACCGCCCAGAAGCGCTGGTTTCTGTCTCCCTTCCCGGTCTTCCCAAAAAGATTGAAATCAAGGAAGTCAGGAAGTGAGAGAATGATTCCCTTGTAAACAATGGCCCCTCAACCATGGTTTCAAGGTGGTGCGAAACGGATTTCGAAACCACCCACTTTAAAGACAGGGGCAACCAGAAGCCCCCTCCCCAGCTCCATGGAGCAAGGCCCGTACTCTACGCCCCAATGGCCGAGTTGGCCAAAACGTCTACCGAAAGACCTCTTCACAGATGTTCGAGCAGCTGCTCAAATACCCACAGGTAGATCTCCGCAACACAAAAGAAGAAAAAAGGTCCAAAGTCTTTTTGCGCAAGCCATTTTTCAGCCCGCGCTGAGGAATGTTGAAGAGCTGCTCACTTGTCCAAAGGAGCTGGAAATAAATGGTTAGCCTTTTAGGCCATGACTAAAAATAGACCAAAACAGGAAAACCAAAAGGTCAAAAGGTCGGATTTGGGCAAGTGGACGACTAAAGCTGGTGGCCAAAATGGGGAAACCAAAAGGTCAGATCCGGTCGATTTGCTTTGGGCAAGTCAGGTTCTGTGCCTCTGAAACTGTTTACCTCGCGGTTTCCCCTCGCCCAGCAGCGACGTGCGGCGGCGGCTGATGGCAGGTGAACTCCCCGTCGTGGCAGTGCACCGGGCAACCCTCAGCCTGAGCGATCCCGATGCAAGAACCATGACTAGGTCCTCCAGTGGAGACTCGTGAGAATAAGGGTACCCGATTTTTTGTTTTTAACCCAGACGCTCCGGATCAATTTAGGGCCCTCAAACAGCCGGGTTTTGAGACCCCCAAACACTTCCAGGATGTGCAATGGAGGGGGCGGGTCTTCCATGGAAGGCCCCAGGAGCCTCTGGGTATTGTCCTTTTTAGTAGGGGAACCCTCCCAACCAAAAAAGGGTCAGAGAGGGCACCTAGCTGGGGGAATTGGTTAGACGCACGACCTGACTTTGGACCAGAAGCGCATGGCTCATTTAAATCAAGTTGAGTGCTCAAAGCTTTCACTCACTTCCTGAATGGATTGGCAAGAAACAGATTTACGTGGGGGATCAGATTGACTTGTGGCCGCAGCAGGTTAACTGCAGAAGAACCAAGTTGGAAAATGAAGCAGTTTCAAGCCTCCCCTCGTTGTTGTGGATTGGCAAGAAACAGTCTGAGCTTGTTGCTAAGCACTAAAACCTCCATTTGCTTAAGTCCCCTCAAAAAAAAAAACATATTTCCAGTAGTGATAGATTCCCTTTAACACCAACAGGCGATTAAAACAAAAAACGTAACCAAATGGAAGAAAATGGTCCAAATCCAGTGACGAAAGCGTCTCCGAACCGAAACTGAAGTGAGAGTTCTCAGCGAGTCAGCTTGGCTTCCGTGAGTCAGCTCGGTTCGTGCGCGAGCTGCAGAGCTTGGCTTTACCACCCAGGTGCGGTAGCCAAAAAATCGAGTTTTGTGCAGCCCCCCACTTCTCAAAATGCACAGAACCGGAAAAAAATAAAACAAAGGATAAGAAACACTTAACAAAACAAAACGAAAAAGCAAACTAAAAACATTTGCCAACAACACCCGCCGTGTCTGGAAGCAAACATTCGGAATTTGGACGGACCATGACTGCCAGTCTGAACCAAAGAGATCCAAAGGTTGGCTACGACTGAGAAATTAGATCGCCAGGTCGCCTTGGCCACGCAAACGCCGGTCCCATCCTCCTGCGCCGATTGGAATCGGATGGGGGGGTCACTACGTTGATGTCGTTTGGATGTCGTTGCCAAGTTACTAAGTGACTAGACACCTGGGCTTCCCGCAAATGACGCAGTTAATTCCACTGAACGGGGAACCGTTTTAAGCGGGTGATATCACCCAGCTTCCGAATAACTACTTTCTAAGTTCGCTCGTTGTCCTTGTTTTAGTTGAACATGGGCATGATGACAAAACCGGGCTGCCCGTTTTCAGATCCACTAAAAGTTTGACTAAATTTAAGTGTGTGAAAAATTCGGAAACCCAACTACTAAACACTAGGATCTAAAAAGCTCAGTTGAACCGGATGAATCGCTGGGAGCCAAGCAAACCAAGCCAAGCGCCTTGGTGCAGGCCAGCTCTGTCTCGTTGCACGCAGCGGGGCAGGGCTCCAAGGAGCACCAATTCCTGGGATTTCGCGCCAGACGCGTGCGAACACGCGGCAGACGCGTGTCCATGTGAAGCCGCTTGGAATGGATTTTTTTCCGGAGGCTAGCCTGATAGATGTGGAATGAAATGCGCAAGCAAAGTGGCAGGGCTGGTGTTTCTAGAGCCTTACCAGCCAAAGGTTTACGCCAAACAAACAAATGATGGGGGAAAGTTAATCATGGCACAGAAGAATAGGACTTCAGGGCACCAAAGTTCGACCCGGAAACCAGGTTCTGCCGCCCAAGCTCCTCTCCTGATAAGGCTAACAGCCCCAAGCCGTGCTGGGTTGCATTAAGTCAGGATTCTCCATCCCCCCGGATGGTGGTTAGGACACAAAGCACTCCTGAAAAGGCTTTTGGTTTGGGGGTGTCCGTTCTTTGGCTCAAGCGTTTCCAAAGTCAGGACAAGTCAGGGGCACAAAGGCAACCTCGGAACGCATAAATATACCATGTCGCTCACTGAATTCAATACGCCCTGTGTGTTGACACCTTGATACAAAGCTACATTTGCAAGCGGGCGCTCTATCCAATTGCAACACAGTCTTGATGTCGGCGGTTTCTTTCAAGCATTCGAGTGTAGTCCACTGTCCACATCCTGCAAAATTATGAATGCTACTTACTACATCTGTGCACTGACGCACCAGCAACCTTTTAGGTATTGCATGCAGGGAGCATTATTTCCGGTCAATGAGCGCCGAGTAAGCTGTAAACAGGCTAGGGCAAATCAAAAGACTGGCTTCCAAGAATGGTCTTTCAAATCTGGTGGCTTGCACTTCGTAGGCGGGTCTTAACAAAGCTAGGTGATGCCCTAGACAAACACCTAACACTTTCGCTGGAGATGGAGCTTGGCCCATACCAGTCCATAATTTCTATGGGACAATGACAATAAGAACGGGGACCACAAAACAAGGATGAAGGATCGCCTCTGCACAACCTTCACGTCTGGCTATGGCTTGGATGTTGACCCATAATGTTGACCCAGTATTAATAAACCCGTCCCATTATTAGGGAGGTCTTCTAAAAGGGGACGCCCCCCCCCCCCTTTAATCAACCTGGGGTTTATTAATCCGGGGTTAACATTACCTTCCCCATTGAAAGCAAAAGAATTATCACCCATCCCAATCACCTTGGGCCTAAAGCCAACTTCCCCTTCCGCACAAAAAAAAAGGCGCTTCGACTCTTCCTCACTTCCTGAGTGGATGGCCCGAAAAACAAGAAAGAAGAGAGAACCCAAAAAAAACATCTCATTCGCAAACAACATGGTCCAAGCCCAAAAAACATAAAACGTCCACGCACTCATGTTTCAAATGGTTGCAAGCAAAATGGAGATCTTTTAAATGATTACAAATGGTTACTGTGGTGTTGAACAAGAACCATGTTTCAAATGGTTGCAAAAAATAGTTTAAGGAGCCCTGTGGTTTCTTTGTCGGCTCAGTGCCAAGGCGCATCCCCTGGAAGTTGGGCGGCTGCGGCGGCCAATGGCAAGGCTTCTCCTGACGTCGCGCGCGCACACACGTGGCGCGAGCGCCGCGCTGCCGCGCAAAAGAATCGGCCCCGGATTCCCTGTAAAGCCAACAGGGATATATATATATATATAGTTTATTTATTTATTTGTTTTAACATATTCATTGGGGGGGGGGGTTGATCCAAAGATCCTTTAACAACATAATAATAAACCATATTCATTTTAAGGTTGATCAAAAGACCCTTTAATTTACATGGCATGACCATTGGACACACCACAAAAACAAACATACTTCCTCACAAAATGGGCAAAGTGACCCATGGTCGTTTGGGGGCCCTAAATGGAATATTGATCAACCCCCCCCCCATTTCAGCAAGAAGCTGACTTTGAACACCCATCAAAATCATGAACCCAGGTTTATGGCCATGTCGTTGGGCCTAAACCGTCCCCGCATGGGGCCTGGGGTCCTAATGTTAACAGGTCATGACTTCCTGTGTTTTTCTTTGTTTTTTCTCCGGGGATCCTCACAAGAGGTGGCTGTCCTTTCGGTTTTCCTTCAAAGCCACCAACAAACAGGTACCATCCAAAAACAAACACGCCCAACACCTTTTCACACCTTGACTACATATGGACCAAAGTGGGGAAACCAAACGGTCAACAGGTCGATTCGCTCTGGGCAAGTAAGGTTGCCACACGGCAACTTCTCTGCTCTGCCTGCCAGCCCGGCCTTTCCATGCTTGTTTGACCCACTTGAGGACTCATCGAACTGTTTTTTGGTGGGGGAAACCGTTCTTTTCACCCACTTGAGGGAGATATATTTGCAATGTTTTTTTGGGGGGGGGGGGTGGGGGAAATACCACTCCTTTTTAAAGCAAATGCGTCCAACGGCGTCCAACGCCAACATCGTCCACGCTCCTCTTTGGCATGGCAGGACGCGGGGCAGCCCTGGGATCTGTTCACGCAGAGGTTGGTGCCGTTGTGACTGCGGGGGAGCGAGCGACGACTTGGAAGACCCGCCCGGCGCAGAAGGAGGCGACAACCACAAGTGGCGTGGGACAAGTTTCTGCATCATGTTTGCATCCTATTCCAGGTCCTCCAGTGGAGAGGTTAGAATAGAGGGCGGGTCGGCATGGGGGCTGAGTTTTTCAGATTCCTGGGGGCTGAGTTTTTCCATTTAAAACACTAAAGCATACCAAACATATACGATCAAGTCCCGTGACCTCTTAGATTTATTGGGGTGCGTTTTTGTTTTTTTGGCTGATGACATGCATGCCAAGTTTATAAACCTCAGGGTGCTAACTTTTGGAAGACGTATGTTTGGCACAAATCTTCAACACAAGTTGCATATGTATGCAATATTTTGGAAGACGTATGCTTAGCAATCTGCAAGCAGATGTATGTTTGGGACAAATATTAGTGTTGTGTTGCAATTCTGAAACACGCAAGTATGGCAAGCACAGCTTGCCACGCATATGAAATCATAAGAAAGGTAAGATATCACTGATCTATGCAGCTTTCAGCTGCAAGACTCATCTCTTTTTACAGTTGGATGTTCAATATTTTTTCAATATACGCATGGGCTCTGCCCATGCTCTTGAGAAAAGACAGCTAACACAAACATATTTATCGCACAATGAGCTGGAGCAATTGGAGCACAGCTCCAATCTAGTTGCTTGAGCTCAAGAAGCACAAGATGCAAAGATGAGCACCTGCAACGATATCTGCAGATGCAAATACCATTCTCTGCATAAAGCTGTTCAGCTTTGGAATAAGAGCTTTGGAATAAGATTCTCTGCAGCTATTCGTGTTGCTGAAGAGCTCTTGCAACAGTAAAGCTGTTCAGAATAGATTCAAGTAGACACAAGCCACAAGCAATTGCTTGTGATGAGATGTTACCTGCAGAAGATGAAATGAGAGATGAGATAAAGTATCTCCAGTTACCTGGAGTTACCTGCAGGATATCTTGGAAGAGGCTTATGTTCTGTTGATACACATCTCATCATATTATTGATGTCTTGCATCAAGAAAGCTTGCATCAAGAAAGCATCAACAAAGTATTGTCTTCAGATGATGGGCTGTGTTTTTTGGTTTTCTTGGTGTTTATGAGCAAAGGCACCCCAAAAAAAAAAAAAACAGACCCATGGCCCTGAACTAGCAGATGCAGATGATGGGCTGTGTTTTTGGTTTTCTTGGTGTTTATGAGCAAAGGCATCAAAAAAAAAAAAAAAACAGACCCATGGCCCTGAACTAGCAGATGCAGATGATGGGCTGTGTTTTTGGTTTTCTTGGTGTTTATGAGCAAAGGCATCAAAAAACCAAAAAAAAACAAAAAAAAAACAAAAAAACCAGACCCATGGCCCTGAACTAGAAGATGCAGATGATGGGCTGTGTTTTTTTGTTTTTTTGTGTTTTTTTGGTTTTTTGTTTTTTTGCTGAAAAAACTCAGCCCCCAGGAATCTGAAAAACTCAGCCCCCAGGAATCTGAAAAAACTCAGCCCCCATGACGACCCCTTCTGTTAGAATAAGGGTACCCGATTTGTTCTGCCGTCTATTTTAGTAGGGGAACCCTCCCCGAAAAAAGGGGTACAAGGGCACTACTGGGGGACCTTCTTCTTGCATTAGCCCCCAGCCTCTTTTTCTCTGTGTTGGCTTGGGTTATGTCCCGGGATTTGCGACCGTGGCAGCCGCAAGCATTCCCAGGGCACCTCCTCTGTGGATTCTGCACGCCCCTGCCTGGTACAGGAGATTTCGCCCTCGTTGCAGAGGGCGGGGCATTCCTCCTGCAACGAGGGCGACGCAAAGCAACATCCGCTGGAAACCATGAAATCCAGCTGGGGCGGCCTGGGGCGTCTTTCTTTTGAGCGTACCCTTTGCAAATAGAAAGGAAAGGGAAGCCAGAAAGAAGCTACTCATTTTAGGAGTCCACCTATGCGAAGACAAAACCCAATTCTGTCCAGCAGGTATGGACCTGAAAAGGCATGGTATCCACAGCTTGCAGCTCCAAATGACTGATGGTAAGCCAACAAAGGTGAGCCCTTTGCTCACCGAAAGCGAAGCGAGCAAAGGGCAGATTTGCACCGCTTTGATTCGAGGACATTACCGCTACTACCCAGTTTCTGCGTCAGTTGTGCGAATGAAGGAAGTAAAAAGACATGGCAATGCTGTCCAACCATCATGCTCTAAATTCTCCGCAACTGAATGTAGCTTCCGTAGCTGTAGGGTGTGGGTCAAAGCTGGCACCCCTCTGTGACACTGAAACACCCAAAATTGCCAGCAGTCACCCCTGGCTCAGGCATGAAGGATCCCTTTGACCGATTGCTTGCTGCCAACAAGCCCGCTGAGCAGGACCGGGACGCTAATTATTTGGAGTTGAGATGGCTCTTGCATTTGGCGGCTTTCTATCCAGATTCAACTTGAGGGCTCACATAATCAAACAGAACAGTCCAACATGAGAGTCGTTTGTGTGTGTGTGCTTTTGATTCTGTGTGTGTGTGTGCGTACGTGTGGGTGAGCGTTGCCTGTGCGCGTGGGTGTGCGGGCGTAAGGGAGTATGGGCATGTGGCGCTGGGGTACGTGAAGTGTGCGTGTGTGTGTGTGTGTGTGTGCCTGTGTGTTTTGTGCTTGAGGGGTACCCCTCTTGCGGCCTGAGAGGGGACACCAGCGGAAAACCGCACATGCCCATATCAAGTGCCTCCAAGAAACCCACACATCTCATGTTTTGTTTGCATTGCGCGCTGTCCTTGGCAGTTCTTCAATTTTGAAGTGCTTTGCTCATCCTTTTCTCGTCAACTCATGTCCCCAAATGGCAATGTGGCTGGGCGCCCATTGCAACAGCACTCGCAGAAGAACACCCAGGGATGTCTAGTTCAAAGCGTCAACAAACAAAGCTTCTCCTATCGATGACCTCCTGAGGCCCATCTGGCTTGTCTTAGCCCATGAGGGGAACCATGACGTTTCCCCAAGCCCAACAGCTGGTTACACGCGGCGCGATCGCTGGCCATGGCATTCGGAGCCAAACAAATGGAAACCCCTTGGATGGCACCTGATATGGGTATGTGTCATGTGCTATGGGGAGACACTGGGGATCCCAACGTAGGCGGTTTTTTGTCAATGTGCCGCTTTCATCTCCTTGGAGCACCAGTTGATGCCAGTGCAGTTCTCGCACGGGGGAGGTGAGTAGCATGTGTGCCTGGGAGTCGCTGAAAAGGCGCAACAAGTTTGTTGGCGTAACCAACTGGGTATCTCTTCTTTCTTGGGATTGGTTTAAAGGAAGAAGCATATGCAAATGAGGTCCCATCTGTGAGAAGAGCCCCGCAGCATCGCGTGGCCCTGCTGTTTCAGACTGCTAATGCTGGCACCACAGCCAGCAATCAAAGGGCTGACCAACAAGCGGTAATACTCTGCTGGGCTGCCCGTTGTCAGATCCCTCGCTACAAGTTTAACTTTTAGTGGGTTAAATGGAAACTACCACTAAACACTAAAAGGCTAAAAAGCTAAGAAGACTTCTTGGGAGCCATTTCACCGTGCCGATGCTCCGTCGGCCGAGTGCTGTGCGGGGGGCCTTTTAGAAAGCAGGTCCCATGAGTCCTCAAGTCTCTCCAGCCGTCACCCCATCACCCCCTCTGAAAACCATGTAGTACAAACACCAAAGTTGAGGAATAGGTAAGCGCACACCCCAAAGCCAATGATTGTTGAAGAACACCCCAGCAAGCCTGCAAGCAAACAAGCCCGCCAAGCAAACAAACAGTCACATCAGCATCCAACGAACAAGCAGCAACTACATGTGTGCCAAATTCTAAATAAACAAGACTGTTCACAGCCATCCCCCTTCCGGCTTGTGTCGGACCTTAGAAGAACTACACATCATGCGCATGGCCACCAAGAAGGCCAACAATCCCGGACCCAAGATCAGTTGCTGCCTGCTTTTAGCGTGAGGGAAATGGCACCTCTGGTGAAAAAATGAGCCAAACACCGACATATGTACAATTACAATCGCATGCACACACACACATAAAAAGACGATACACACATCAATATATATATATATATTATACATATATATATATATATATTTGTGTATGTGTGTATGTATGTATGTATGTATGTATGTATGTATGTATGTATGTATGTATGTATGTATGTATGTATGTATGTATGTATGTATGTATGTATGTATGTATGTATGTATGTATGTATGTATGTATGTATGTATGTATGTATGTATGTATGTATGTATGTATGTATGTATGTATGTATGTATGTATGTATGTATGTATGTATGTATGTATGTATGTATGTATGTATGTATGTATGTATGTATGTATGTATGTATGTATGTATGTATGTATGTATGTATGTATGTATGTATGTATGTGTGCATGTATGTGTGCATGTATGCATGTATGCATGTATGCATGTATGCATGTATGCATGTCTGCATGTCTGCATGTCTGCATGTCTGCATGTCTGCATGTCTGCATGTATGCATGTATGCATGTATGCATGTATGCATGTATGCATGTTTGCATGTATGCATGTATGCATGTATGCATGCATGAATGCATGAATGCATGAATGCATGAATGCATGAATGCATGTATGCATGTATGCATGTATGCATGTATGCATGTATGCATGTGCATGCATGCATGCATGCATGCATGCATGTATGCATGTATGCATGTATGCATGTATGCATGTATGCATGTATGCATGTATGCATGTATGCGTGTATGCGTGTATGTATGTATGTATGTATGTATGTATGTATGTATGTATGTATGTATGTATGTGTGTGTGTGTGTATGTGTGTATGTGTGTATGTATGTATGTATGTATACATGTATGTATGGATGTATGTATGTATGTATGTATGCATGTGTGCATGTGTGCATGTGTGCATGTGTGCATGTGTGCAGTGCATGTGTGCATGTGTGCATGTGTGCATGTGTGCATGTATGCATGTATGCATGTATGCATGTATGCATGTCTGCATGTCTGCATGTCTGCATGTCTGCATGTCTGCATGTCTGCATGTCTGCATGTATGCATGTATGCATGTATGCATGTATGCATGTATGCATGTTTGCATGTATGCATGTATGCATGTATGCATGCATGAATGCATGCATGAATGCATGAATGCATGAATGCATGTATGCATGTATGCATGTATGCATGTATGCATGTATGCATGTATGCATGCATGCATGCATGCATGCATGTATGCATGTATGCATGTATGCATGTATGCATGTATGCATGTATGCATGTATGCATGTATGCGTGTATGCGTGTATGTATGTATGTATGTATGTATGTATGTATGTATGTATGTATGTATGTATGTATGTATGTATGTATGTATGTATGTGTATATGCACACATACACACACATATATATATATATAGATATATATATACATATATGCATGTGTGTTTGTGTGAAGGAGCCTACCTCACGCCAGGCTGCAGCGGCTTCGTGCAGTTCACCGGGCAGCCATGCGCCTGACAAACTCGCGAGCCCGGTGCCCCGTTTGGAGCGTTGGTGCGGAGAGTTTGCAGGCGGTGCGCTGGACAATCCCCACCAGCTCCAGGTCTTTTGACCATGGCAAACATGGGTACCTACGTGGAGGTGTTCTGTCCAAACAAACTCAAGAGTCTCAAATGGAAATGGACCCGTAGGAATGGCCTTTGGCACTTCCACCCTCAAAAAGAGTTCTGGGCTTCAACATCCCCTGCCGATAGAGGGGGAGGGTTTTTCCGGGTCCGGACCCAACTTCCAGATGTCCCGCTAAAAGTTTAACTTTTGGCGGGTTAAATGGAAACTACCACTAAACACTAAAAGGCAAGGTTAAACGTGAGTTGGTTGGAAGAGCGAATTGAAGATAGAAACCAGCTCGCTGGTTCCCAATAAGCCTTCAGGAGCCGGAGGGAAATTGGAGGTGATGCTGCTAGTGACCAATCACACGCCTACGCCGGCGACTACGCCAAGCAATGTATACATACCAGCGGGGACAGCCTACGTGAGGTGTATGTCAGCCTGAAAACGCCTACGCATCTACGCGGTGAGTTTCGCGCTAAAACTCGCACGCGTGCGCCTACGAGCAAACTGTCAAGTCGGGCATACGCGGTGACAGCGCGAGAAGCTCCCCAGCAGACTCTTAAAAAAGTGGCTACGCGCGCCTATACGCCAAATATGTGCACTTTCATTCTGTCCCCCCCGTACTACCGCAAAAAGACTCCGCATCCTCATCATCTTCATCATCATCAGCATCATCTTCATCGTCATCCCTCGTAATCTTTTGGCATCAAACAAATGGACATGTTCACATTGTTCTGCCCTTTCTCTTCTCACGACACATATTCTAATTTTTGTTAAGTCGTGTTAAGTTTTTAGTCAGGTACCCCTCAAATGGTGGTTGGGATTGATGGCTTGCATAGTTGATCCCTTGATGAGGCTGTGACACATCATGAATCTTCTTCACACCTGCCAGAGGAACTGTACATATATATATATATAAAGACTCCGTGCCAATCTGCCAGCCGCACATATGCGACAATATGTTATTTGATTGTTTGGGGGGTAGGGTGAAATCTGTCATCGCTCACTGCTGAAGCTTGGGCATGCAACGCAGGCTGCGAATTGATTCTTTGACAGCCCTGACCCCGACTCACCATCACTCAGATGCCCAGTTGCCAGGAAAAAAGGGCATCCCTTTTTTGGTTGGTTGAGTTTAAAGGGAACCCTTCCCCAAAAAAAGGAAAAGAGCGCCACTGGGCAACCGAGATCAGGTTGAAGACATGAAACGCATCCGAGTTGAAAAGAGTCAGTGGTGATACATTCCTGTTAAAACCAACAAGGAACAAACATATTCTAAGGAGTGGTTCCACACTGGGCTGTTCAAAATGGCAGGGATGGGACTCCACGACCAAAGCGGCAGAAGTTTATATAAAGGATTGGTTTTTGGCAACGCTGCAAGGTGGTAATACTGGCCCCACTGCTTCACCATGGTCAAGGTCACTCCTCAAGTGGTAGGTTCAAGGGGAAAGCAACCCCAATGTCCGATTTTGATATCCCCTAAAAAGCCGCAAAACAACGGGTCCAGTGGCAATCTTCCCCTTGGGCGGCTTGGGCGACCAGGACCGGGCCAAAGGGCCTTCGGCATGCAGAACTCCGCGCCGTTGCTGGAGCCGCACACCACCTATGGGGTCATGCAGGCTAGGTCCTCCAGTGGAGAGGTTAGAATAATGGTACCCTTTTTGTGTAGTCTGTTTCAGTAGCAGAACCCTCCCCCCCAAAAAGGGTAAAAGGGCACTACTGGGGTTGTCAAACCCTTTTTGGTCTCCGGCCGCCAAACATACTTGCTGGTTCGCCTCTGGGGAATGAGACACGGAATGGCCCCAAAATGGGGGGGAGGAGGGTTCACCATAAACAGGGACGCAGCCAGGGCATGAGAACTGGAATGACCCCGACAAAAACTATCCCCGATTTGGCGAAGGGACGCCGACTTGTCCATTCCCGACACCCGGACCCGGACTCGCTGTCATTCCCTATCGCCCCAGCAAGTCATTGGCTAGATGTGGCTGTGGCTCAAAAAAGTGGTGCCAACATGGCACCTGGGCAAATGGAACCAAAGACTAAAACCTGCGTAACCGTAGCTCTTTAATTTTGAGACACACCCATGTGGCAAAACCTCCAAGATCCCAAGTGCGATCCGCACGTTTTGCTTCAGCCGCAAGAAAACAGAGCGACACCCCCCGGCCTCATTATTTTACCATGATCAAGTCACCCCCTGAGTGGTGGGTTAAAGGGAAACTATCAACCATTTTCTGACTTTGATCACCCCCAGAAACCGTCAAAATAATGACGCCAGACCCCGCAGGTCCCCACCTCCGTCGTCTTGTTGCAGCTCGGTGCGCAAGGAATGGGCGAGCAAAAGTTGAGACCCGCCTGGCGGGTCAAGGCGTGCCACATGGGCAGAGCCGTGATGTGCGTGATGTGCTTCCCAGCTTGAGACCAGATCTGTAGAAACCGCTTTGGATTTTTCAGCTTTTTGTGGAGTTCAGCTGGTTTGAGACTTCACCCGTTCTTCCCCCCTTGGTGATTTTTAATCATTGTTCAGAATTCTTTTGTATCCTACAGGGGTGAATCCACAGATTCGCCGCATCCAAGCCATTTGCTAGAGCCTAGGGTCATATGCCCTCATCAAACAAAAATGTTCGGGACCAGGCGCCCGCTCGCCATTTGGTCTTAAGCATGTAAAAAGTTAGCTCGTCTTTTGTCATATTGATGTGATCCCTACCCTGCGTTTCCCGGCGGCGGCAGCGGCCGTAAGATCCAAGCCGCAGTTTGGGGGGACTGGATGGTGGGAGGAAGGGGCTTGCGTGGTGACAATGCGCTCACAATGCTTCAGGATTTCACTTGCACTGTCTCGCTTCTTCCACACACACACGCGCACACGTAACGCGCGTGGTGCTCACGCAGCCATGTGCAAGCTGGCCTCGCACTCGACACATCAACACACACACACACACACACAAACACCTGCCGGTTCGTACATTTGGGCTCACATGAAACCATGACAAGGGCTGGGATGCGCGAATTAAAAGCGTGTTCGTGTCAATCCTTCATTCCCAACTGAGTGGAATGGCTCATGCGGATGATACGTGCATTCATGCGGTGGCAAGCGTGCTGTTGCTGCGGCGTTCGTTTCATCTTTGCCTAGACCAAAAAGTAGCAATCTTGAGGCCGGTAAAACCTATGCAAATGGATCACAGGCACTTACTTGGTTTTCTGCTCGAAATCAATACAAGCTTGCACAAGACGGTGTCAACATTGTGCAAGAGTCGGAACAAACAGCCAGGCGAGGGTAACGGCGGCTTCAAAACAAACATTGCTGCAAGAGGCAGACTGGGCTTTGGTGGGAACCTCCTCGTCGAGTTGACGTATGCTTGAGGCTCAAATAAATCTGCTCAAGCACACCTGTTCAAAGGCAAAACCTCAGTGGATACACCATGTAAACAGTCTTGAGTGAATGGACCATCTGTTCAGATTCCAAGGCTCAGGGGATAAACCGTATAACAATAAACCATGTGCTTGTTTGCCCAGTGGATAAACCACGCAAACCAAAACCAGCCCAACAATCGCTACACACCAACCCCAGCAACACCAAGCGCCCGCGCGCCCGCCTCGCCCTTCTTGCTCGGGCGGTGGCAGTGGTACTCGTGGTCCTTACACTCGGCGGGACAGCCCCGGCTGCTGGGCACGCAAAAGCTGCTGTTGCCATGGCTGCCATTGTGCCCGGGGCAGGACACCTCGTGGTCCTCACCGGCGAAGCCACCAGTTGAAAGTTCGTTTTGCTTTTCAAGTCTTGATAAAACTTGGCTGATGTAACCACCCCTCTGCAAAAAGTTGAACACTTTTTGTGGGTCCAATTCGGAAATCCGACCTGTGTCAACCAACAAGTTAAAGTCCAAAGACCCAACTAGCCATAAAGATACAGGCCCTCCAACTGCTTGCCTGAGTGATCAAAAAGCCACCAGACCGCTGCTTCCCAGAAATTCGGTTTCTCAGCTCTTGCCAGCCATAATTTTCCCATCACTTCATGTCACGTTTGGGACTCTGCGTCCTTCGGAATTCAGGAAGGCCCAGGAACATGACTCAAGGAATCTCGGCATCACATCAACTCATTTCGTCCATTTGGCGTTTCCTCAGTCCGAAACGGGAACCGCCTTCGAACGGAAAAATTATTTCAGGCGGTTCAGTTGGGCACATGCTTGGCTTCAGCCAAGCTTCCCCGGTGCAATCGGGATGCAATCCAAGTCCTGTGATTGAAAATTGTGTACCGGTGCCACTGACAAGAGCTTAGCATATACACTGCTTGTGGTTAGGATACCTGTACTTGTTGGAATGTATACAGAACGGTGTATACCAAAAAACCCACACAGGACATCCCGCCAAGAATCGCACGAACAACCTGGCCGGCTGCAAAAGGTAACAAGCTTGGCCCAAGCCTCCTGATCTCGTTTTGGCATCCGTGCGAGTAAACATGCCCCTCCTCCCCGAATCAAACATGGGGTTGCTGCAACGGCCCCTCTGCAAAATATGTATAACTTTTTGTGAGTCCAAGTCGGAAATTCCAGCCTGGTTCAACCAAAAATATAAAGTCCAAAGATCCAACCAACTAGCCACGAAGACGTGGCTTTGACAAAGCTATTGCCAACACTTTTGGTCACGGCAGGCCCCGTCTGTAGCCCAAGGAACTGCCTGCAATCTTAGGCGAGTGCCAACCACCCATTTATGACGTGCAGCGGGGAAGCCCGTTTATTTGGAACATCCTTTCCAGGAAGACGCTTTCACACATCTCGTGTACCAACCTGTGGGGTGCTAGCTAGCTTTCGGATATCAAAAATGGCACATGGCTCTGGGTCAAAAATAAATACCCAACACGGAACCCTGGAAAATGGAACCATGGACTAAACCCTGCGGCCCCCTGGTGGTGAAACCACCACCGCAGGCTTTAGTCTTCTTTCCCTCTACCAGGGTTCCATTTCAGCTACCTACTCAGTCGCCCAAGGGACCCAGAATTAAAAGGTTAACCTTTTGGGGCCTTTACCAAAGATAGACCAAAATTGGATGCGCCAAAGGTTAATTAAAAGGTCGGCTTTGGGCAACTGAGCCTATTTTTGACCCACCAAGTGATTGACCCACACGTCTTACAAAGCTTCGTGCCTCGCAAAGGGCAGGGCAGGGCCCGGAGGAGCACCAGTTCACCGCGGCGCAGCCCGGGCACTTGGCCGGCGTGCGGCACTGATAGTCCTAGGGCCAGGATGTATACTTCCATCTGCTCAACATGCAATTTGTTGCTTTTCCCCCGAATTGTTCTTGAAAAACTGGGTCTGAGGCGAAACCAAGCCAATTCCCGGATTGAAACCCGAAATCCTCTTTGGCTTCTGAAAAGCCCTTGGGTGCCATTGGGCGCCTTCTAGTCACACCCAGGAAAGCCCGTCCAAGGCTTGGTCACTGTTCAAGCTTAAATCACAAATTACGGGTTAATAAGTTGGGAAGTCGTTGATTAAACCTTTGTATTGCTTTTTGCTATCATCATTGCGAAGGGCAAAGTTGTAAAATGGTACCAGACATTGATCCAGGACTCAACCTTGGTCACAAGTAAAACGGTCTTCCAAAAAGGGCTGCCTATCTGTTGAATCAAGTTGGTCAACATCCGAAAACATCCGAAAACATATCAATCGACAAGTGTGCCGCGGGGACATTTTCTTGGGCATCGCTGTTTTAACATGAAGTGATCCAGCGCATGCTTCGTCTTTGCCCCGGTTGCTGGAAACTCGTGACACGTAGGCGCATTACATGGTCGCCATATACTGCTGAAGGTACAAAGGCCTGCGCACGTTTCTTGGCTTTCGGCGAGTCTAATTAAGCGCAACGGTGTCGGATTCTTCGCTGGAAGGATTGCATCCCAACAAGCGAATTCCAAACGGTTTTCATTGTTGTGAGCAAGCACAAAGGGGAAGAGTGAGTGCGCAAAAAGAACACCCGAAAATTTGCAAGAAGCATCAAGCAACTGGCTAAAGGTGCAGGGTCCCGTTGTTTCTGGCCCAGTGACATGTAGACGATGCGATTCAGTTGGCATGTAGAAGGTTTGCACAACTTGGAAACCAAGTGTTGCCCCTCCGCCCCCTGATAAGTCATATATTTTGCTTCCTGGTTCGTCAACTGCTCCATGAATCAAGGCCTCAAATGTACACGTTTGCGCGTCGTGTCTCGGAAGGAAAGGGAGAATGGACACCTAGTACCGGTCTCCTGGCGCCATCTCTCCAAACAAACGATATCGCAACACAAACACGAAAGAACAGAAACTGAACGCATAAATCCAACACAAACAAAGCACGGAACATACTGACCATGTGTTTCTTCTGCCCCCACCCCTCATCCCCCCCTGCCCCCCCTCCCCCCCCCGGCCCCCCTACCCCCCCACCCCCCTGCCCCCCCTGCCCCCCCTGCCCCCCCTGCCCCCCCTGCCCCCCCCGCCAGGCGTCTGTCTGCGCGCAGCCCACCGGGCAGCCCTCCGCCAGGGGAGCGCAGCTCAGGGCCGAACTCTCGCCTTCGCAGAGCAGCTCCTGGTAGCTACAAACCTCAGGCGCCCTTTCCGCTTTCCGTTTTTCAGGCGCCACTTCTGCTTCCATTTGCGAGAACAAAAACGCCCCCAACCAAAAAGATGAAAACTATGTCCAGTCATAGAAAAAATACAGAAAACACCATACAAAGGTTGATGAATATGGGCCCTTTACATGGGACCACTGACAGAAACCACGGCTTTAAAATGGCCTACCCAGAACCATGTAAAGAATCCAATTCGCACCACCGAAGAAATCCTGGAATGATACGATTGCCCTGTGAATGCCAACAAATAACGGTTTCCCGTGGTTTCAAAGTGGTGCAGGATTTCGTCCATCCACAGTAGGAAGGTTGATCAAAGGTCCTGTACATGGGACGACCAAATCGGATGGATGGTCTTTCTTGGGTCTTCCAATTCCATTCCCTGCTGAGCACCAGCAAGTACGGACCCTTTCATGTACCATGCCTGCTTTCATTTCCTTACATATGCCCCCTGGTAAAAATGAAAAACATATGTCCAGTATGTACTAGGTTTGCAGGTGAGGTCATATGACAATCAAACCCTGGCTGGTCCAGAGGCCCTGTACATGGCGGTTGATCAAGATAGGTCTGATGAACATGGGATGACAACTAGGTTGTCCAGTAGAGAGGTTAGAACAAGGGTGCTTTTTTCTGTAGTCTATTCTAGTAGTGGAACCCTCCCCCAAAAAAGGGTACAAGGGCACTACTGGGGGACCTAGACAATTTGGGGAAGCCACAATGCACGGCCAACCCATCAAGGGGTCTCGCCAAAACGTTGAGCTTGCCACCGCCAGTGCTGCAGAAGGGAACGCGAGGAACTATAGTCCAAAGCAGGGCGAACAAAATCACGTCTTGCCTAATGCAACTTCCTTCATTAAGGAGCTGGCCCTTGAAAGATCCGCCACTTTTAGGGCAAACAACCCCCGTGAATTCGCCGGCATAATCCTAAGCCAGACTTGGGCTTAGATGCCCTGCCTTACCTCAGCTTGGCAAACAACTCTCAGCTCGTCCATTCCTCTGCTTGGCCCCTCTCCAACTGTTGTGAAACATCATCTCACTTTCAATTGACTCAGACCAAGTGACCAAGTGACACTGCACTGTCCCTTTCGCATGATACTCGCTTGGAGTCTGAGTTTCCAACTGACCTTGAACCTAGGCTGGAATTAGGACCCCAGCAATTTTTAGCTTTATTTGTCTGGTTAGTGGAAAACAAAGGGCCCCAAAAAATGCAAAAAAGCAAAAAGGGCAGCTAATTCCGGCAAAGGAACAGGGTACAAAGCGCTTGTGTCTCTGGACTCGTTCTGCTTCCATTTCTCTAGGGGTTGATTCCTTGTCCATTCTTTCCAACCATCGTTCTTTTCGCACATCAGCCGTTCTCCCCTGGTTTCTGGAGGTTTTCCAGAAAGAAGGATCCCTGGAAAGAATGGGGGGAGGTGAAACATCCACTTTCAAATGACTCAGACCAAGTGACACTGCACTGTCCCTTGGATATGGAGGGTAGTAGGGCCGTAGCGCCCGCCTCTCTCTGTCTCTGGACTCTTTAGACAGATACCTCTGGAAAGAACCGCGTTCCATGTGGAAATGGTACCTGGTTGCCTCTAGAAATCCCTGTGAAACCGGCAATTTTCCCAATTTTCCCTGGTACCTCCTTCTAGAAAGATCATGTCAAGCAGAATTTCCCCAGATTTCCCCAAATTTCCCTGGTACCTCCTTCTAGAAAGATTCGGATCCCTGATGCCATGATCAAAGTCACCTTCTAAGTGGTGGGTTAAAGGGAAACTACCAACCATGTTCTGACTTTGATAATCCCCAGAAACCGTGAAATCAATGAGATCAGTGAGAGCCGAATCCGTTGAATCCCCAGGTGCCACCGGGCAGGGCTGCTTGGAGCAGTACTTCACGGCGCTGCAGTTCTCGCACATCTGCGGCGTGGTGCAGACCACCTCCCCGGTGCCGCAGGCCACCGGGCAACCCTCGGAGAGGGGGAAGCAGGCGTAGTCCCAAGGGAAGACCTGATGAACCGAACAATCCGCAGCGAGGGGCGCGTTGACTCGAGACAAGCGCGGAATTTGGTTGGCCAAATTGCTGGGCTGCAATCAGATGCGCTGAAAGTGAGTCTAACTTTTAGTGGGTTAAAGGGAAACTACCACACTAAAAAGCTAAAAAGCTAAGGGGATGGCTGGGAGCCACCAAGAATGCAGTCAGTGGAGACATAAGGGCGAGGTTGATCACTTGAAACTCTGTTGCGAGATCAAGACGGAGCCTCCAGGAAATTGTGATAGTGGGTTCACGGAGCCTTTGTGGGGCGCGTCCCTAAAAGTCTCACACCTGACAGCCCGGCATTCTCAGTGGGGCCGTGGCTCCGGCTTCACGCGTGCGAATTGCTTCGCTGAATGGCCTCTTTGAGTTTGGTTTTTCCTGCTGAGGATTCCTAAACGTCCCGAGCTGCGGAAGGCATACCCCACATTCTTGCATATCAGCATGGGTTTATGTCTCAAATTGAGTCTGAAAAAAGAACAAGTGCTGCGTTCCTGTTAGTTTCCAGGCTCCCCTTCAACCCCCCCCCCCGCCCACCCCACCCCCAAACCAAATTCAATTGACCCAGGGCGCCGGGTAGAAGCTGCCAGCGCACAAGACCTCCGAGCTCTTGCAGCCTTGAGTGGTCGCCTGGGATGGTTTTTTTTCGGACGCCGAAAAAAAGGGCTGAGTGGGGGGGTGAGAGGGGGGGTGAGAGGGGGGGGGAGTGAAATATTGTGTGTTTTTTTTTGGGACACCAACAGAAAGGGCTGGGTGCGGGGGGGGGGGGGTTAAACACGCGAGTTTTCACCCAAGGTCCTTTACTTGGAACATCACCCAAAGAACTTGGACACCAAATCTGGAATCTCTGGTGTTGTCTTCTGAGAAGGCACTGGAAGGTCACTCTGGGCCGGGACTCCACCAAATGGTGGTTCCGTCCGGTGTTTCCTTTCCAACGGGAAAAAACGATCAACTCCAAACAAAAAAGGACAAGCGAGCCACCCAGTTACCTAAAGATTTGGGTTATGGGCCTCTGGTGTATAGTTTTCTAAAAAGCACCTCGTATTCGGGATGTCAACTTGGTCAAAGTTTGCCACAAGGATCACTGTGAGGCTGGCCTAAGCGTCCCCTGACAAGGTCGTCCAGGGCACTGGAAAAACCGAGGGGGGGGGGGTCCTGATTGTTTGACCCGGCCATTAGCCACAAGTAACCCAGAAAGTGGCTTCAAGCCAACTGGAGTTTCCAAGAAATAAGCTTCAGATTCTGCTTCACGCATCTTCATGCGTAGCCTAAATATAAAACAACTTTAGGGAGGAGACCCCAGTTTAGCTGACACTGGTTCATAAAAACCCGGCAAACGTCCTTGATCTGTCATGCAATAACGAGAGGGAAAGCCCCTTGGATGAGTGGCTTTCTTCTTTCCACATGTCCCGGATTTGGACACCCCTATTGTCTTTAAGGGACTGCCCCAAACGGTGGTGTTCCGATTGATGTTCCTTTCCAAAAAATTGCTACCAACTCCGACAAAGAAAGGGGGAGTCAATTTCAACAATTGGTCGAGACAGGCTCTGCGGTACCTGGCTCGCTCGTACAAAATCCGCACTGAGGCAACCCTCAGCTTTTCCCGCACTTTTTCCCGGAAAGGACCTGGAAATAAAAGCAAAGGATCACCTTTTGATGGCTGAATCAGAGGACCAAATTTTGGGAAACTCAAAAGGTAAGAAGGTCGACGAGTGAGCTTTACACTGCCACATTAGTGGCAGGGTTGCCAAGATCTCGAACGCAATGCAAATCCACAGTTGGATTTCGAGCAACGCCTGTAAGCAACTTCATGTTTCGGGCCCGTAGGTGCCCCACAGAAACAATCCAAACCAAACTCGGATGGACTCAGCAATCACGCACACACAGACACACACACACACACACATACTGATCAATGATAGAAATGCCCCGGATGCAATTTTCAGGGATTGAGTCGATTCATTGGCGCGCAGCCTTGTGCACGCAGGGTGCACATTCGTGTTCAACTCAAATGCTGCTTATTCCCCAAACAGCGAAGCATTGGGTTTCTAACTTGAGGTATAGAGAAAAGGAAAGTGTGACGCCGATTCCGGGGTCCTGTTTTCCGCTTGTCTTCCTGTCTCCCAGTCTCTCCGGTCAGATGCCAGATGCTGTGACGTCCAGGGTCGTGTCGCCCGCTTGTCTCCCTGTGTCTGGATGCCAGATGCTGTGACGCTGGCTCCGGGGTTGCGTCGTCTCCCTGTGTCTCCCATCTCCCTTTTTTGATGCTGTGACGCTGGCTCCGGGTCGTGTCTCCCGCTTGTCTCCCTGACTCTCCCTGTCTCCGCGGTCAGTCCCGCTTGTCCAGTCTCTGCGGGCACTGGCTCCGGGGCGGTGTCTCCCGCTTGTCGCCCTGTGTCTCCCAGTCTCGGCGGTCGGATGCCGGCTCCGGGGTCGTGTCTCCTGCTTGGAGCCTGCTTGTGACGCTGTTGTGTCTCCCACTTGTCTTGCTGCGGTCGGATGCCAGCGGGCTCCGGGGTCGTGTCTCCCGCTTGTCTCCCTGTGTCTGGATGCCAGATGCTGTGACGCTGGCTCCGGGGTTGTGTCTCCCGCTTCTCTCCCTCTTTCCCATCTCCCGTTTTTTGCTGGCTCTGGGCTCGTGTCTCCCGCTTGTCTCCCAGTCTCTGCGGTCGGATGCCAGATGCTGTGACGCTGGCTCCGGGGTCGTGTTTCCCGCTCCCAGTCTCTGCGGTCAAATGCCAGGTGCTGCGACGCTGGCTCCGGGGTTCCCCCCCGCTTGGCTACCTGTGTCTGGATGCCAGATGCTGGGTCGTCTCCAAGTCTCTCAAGGGGTCGTGTCTTCCGCCTGTCTTCCCCAGTCTCTGCAGTCAGACGCCAGATGCTGTGACTTGTCTCCCTGTGTCTCCAAGTCTCTGCAGATGCTGTGACTCGCCCCAGTCTCTGCGCTCGTTGCTGCCAGCTGGCTGCTTTCCTGCTTACAGCCCTCAACGGGAAAAATGAAGTACTGAACCTGTTTCTTCTTACCCAGTTTTGAGGCTGACCTGGCTTGCTTGGCATCCAGTAACCGGCGTTCGGCTCCCTTCGGCTCCCTTCGGCTCACGTGGCAGCAGCTCGCAAGCGCAATTGAGAAGCATCAAGCTAGAAACATAGATTCGAGAAGTCAGCAGGAACCACTTGCAACAATGTTTCGCAACAAGGAAAGGGCATGTCGCAGATTTTGCTGCTAGCCTGCGTGCAAAGGATGTGCCTCTCTGAGAGTCTCTCTTGGCCAAGCGCAGGTTTGCATCCTTGTCGTTGGACAATGTCGAGCCTTGAATTTTTTGTCGTTAAACAAACAAATCGTGACATCCGGCTGGTTGCTTTGCTCAGGAAACTGAGCTGCTTTTTAGAAGCCAGTGCCACACTTCTTGGTCAAGTGCAGGTTCGCATCCCAGCAGGCAGGCCCTGTCGAGCCTTTAATATGTCTATGTCTCTCTCGATAAAACAAACAAATATATAGTGACATCCGGTTGATTGCTTTTTGGAAGCCAGTGCCGCACTTCTTGGTCAAGTGCAGGTTTGCATCCTTGTGGCGCATCAGCAGAGCCCTGTCGAGCCTTAATATGTAGACTGGTTTTGGAAGCCAGTGCCGCACTTCTTGGTCAAGTGCAAGTTTGCATCCTTGTGGCGCATCAGCTGAGCTCTGTCGAGCCTTGCATGCTTGGTCAAGTGCAGGTTTGCAGCCTTGTGGCGCATCGCTGAACAAATACCGTGGCATCCGGCTGATACTGAGCTGCTTTGTGGAAGCCAGCGCCGCACTTCTTGGCCAAGCGCAGGTTTGCATCCTTGTGGCGCATCAGCAGAGCCCTGTCAAGCCTTAAATGTGTCCATTTTGTTCTTGGTAACCAAAAATACATCCGCCTGATTGCTTTGCTCAGGATTATGAGCTGCTTTTTGGAAGTTCGAGCCTTAAAATATGTACTTTTGTTCTCGATAATCAAATACCGTGACATCCGCCTGATTGCTTTGCTCAGGATTCTGAGCTGCTTTTTGGAAGCACTTCTTAGTCAAGCGCAGGTTTGCATCCTTGTGGCGCATCAGCAGAGCTGTCGAGCCTTAAATCTGCATATTGTTCTCGATAAACTAATATGCCGTGACATCTGCCTGATGGCTTCGCTCAGGATTCTGAGCTGCTTTTTGGAAGCCAGTGCCGCACTTCTTGGTCAAGTGCAGGTTTGCATCCTTCTGGCGCATCAGCAGAGCCCTGTCGAGCCTTAAATGTGTCTGTATTCTCGACAAACAAATATTCTGGGACATCCGGCTGATTGCTTTGCTCAGGATACTGAGCTGCTTTTTGGAAGCCAGTGCCGCGCTTCTTGGTCAAGTGCAGGTTTGCATCCTTCTGGCGCATCAGCAGAGAACAGCCAAGTGGCCTTAACTGACTGGTTTGCATCCTTGTGGCGCATCAGCAGAGCCCAGCCAAGTGGCCAGAGGGCTTGCGCGGGTCAGCCACCGTCTTAGCCAAAATCGTATGAAGCGGCGCTGCAGGAAAGACCTCCAGCGGATGACACCAGCAAGTTGCGCAAGCAAGTTGCGCTAGCAAGTAGCACTAGCGAGTTGCACTGGCAAAATGCCACGAGCAAAATGGCGCGAGCCAGTAGCACGAGCAAGATAGCACTAGCGAGATGCACGAGCCAGTAGCGTTAGCCAGTGGCACTAGCAAGTAGCACCAGCAAGTGGCGCTAGCAAGTTGCAGTAGTGAGTTGCACTAGGAAGTTGCAGTGTGTTGCGGCAAGCGCTGCGCGCAGAGAGCTTGCGCAGACAACTTGCTCATTGAAACTTGTTCAGAGAAACTTGCTGAGAGAACTTGCGCAGATAATTTGTGCCAAGAACTTGCTTGGAGAACTTGCTCAAAGGAACTCGCGCCAACAACTTGCTCAGAGGAACTTGCGCAGAGAACTTGCTAGGATTACTTGGCGCCGTGCGCTGCTCATGCTTTCGGGCCACTCGTCTTCTAGTCTCCTCTTGGTAGCATCACTGTAGTTCGAGCACCCTTTTTTGTTGGCAGTGCTAACCTTGCCTCCTAGCTTGTTGCTAGTATTTAGCACCTTCTCAGTTGGATCGCCATGTGGAAGGCCAAAATCATATCCAGTCTTTCGCTTCGCTAGCTGGCCCTGCGACGCTTTTTCCTCATTGCAACCTATGTAATCCAGTCCCACTGACAACAGCTTTGACATATCTCGTTGCCTCCTGACAGAAGGGTTGAAAACAGATTTCTCAGCCTTGTTTCGCGTGGAAACATATTCCGCAATATGGACGCTGCTGTTTTGCAGGTGCCCGAAAGTGCCCAGGGCTTGCAAGTGCGAGGGCTCAAGGGTTTTCATGGCGGGACGTCGTAAGGTGCCATTCTCTGCGGCGCTAGATTCCCTACAGTCTCTGGACCATGGAACACCAAAGGGGTCAACGTGAGCTGTATTGCATGGCGCTTGTGCTAGCCTCCCGCAGTGAGTATTTTTGGAAATCCGAGCAATTCCATTTCATTCTTGCAATCAACGTTCTTTTCCGAGATCTCGACTTGAATTTGGCAGCTCCGGGCGAGATTCTGATTTACTTGCTCGCAGCATACGTGGCTTGTCGGGAAACCAAGCTGGAGGGATGCGCGGACAGCACCAAGACCAACACATGCTGCAGACATGGTCCATCCATTTCTTCTTTGACGACACAGCTTCGCCTCCACTACGCCTTGAACATCGATTCCGACCCGTTCAAGCAAAAGGTTTCGGTGCTGGACACTCTCGTGCATGGCGATTTCCCCAGCAACATTACGGAACGGCGGCTCTGGCGCTCAATGTGGTGATTGCAACAAGGACACACGGTCATGGCCAAGTTTCGACACATGTTCGGTGGCTGCATAATCTGATAAGAGTTGCTAACGCCGCCGCCGTGTTTGATGGTTTCTTTTTTTGGGCCATCAACAAGAGCCGTTTCGCCAATCGCAGAGTGGCTTGGTGATTTCCTGGTTACTTGCTCTTGGAGATCTGGTGCTATCGCAGAGAGGGACGAGCGAACACACAGTCAAGCAGGCGTGTTTATCATCTTGTTGCATCGTGAGGGGGGGTCCGAGCTCCAAGGTTTTTTCTGACCGGTTTCCAGAAAGAATGGTCCTGGAAGTAAAGCCTGGGTGAGTCGGGCCCCCAACCAAACCATTAGCTTGTAAGAGTTGTTCGCATCGTCCCTGCACTTGTCGAGCTCTCCTCGAAAAACTTGGTTGATGCATAGGAGCCTTTTCCTGGCAACCTACTTCGCTGACCTTGACAACTTGGAAAGAGTTCATGAACCCGGCCAGTTGATTACTGTGCTGCTGGAGCTGAGTGAACGCAAGGCCCAGAAGTTGTTGCCAGCGGCGCGCACTGGAATGGCGGCCGCCGGTCGTTCACCACACATGTGAACACCAATCTGCGAACCATAAGCGCCAACTGATGAACCCGGCCAAGCTGGTGGCGTCCACTGTGCAGCCAGCATTGGTAAGTTGGGGCAAAGTTCTCACAGAGATGGAGCAGGGCTTGGCCAAGCTTGTTCCAGAATGGAGGGGCGGTGGGCGCATGGAGCAAGGCCACGCGTTGGCCATCTTGGGAGCATGCGGCGCGCTGGACAAGACAGACATGAAGACCCTGGATGACCAAGCTACTGCCGGCTCAATTTCTGGAGCTGCGCCGGGTGACAGAGGTGCGCGCCAAACGGGCACCTTTGCTGACGCTTGCCAATTTGGCGCGGCGTGTGTCTGCGTTGCTATGCGAGGATGTCCCGGCCGTAACGCTACAAGGCGCAGTCTGCAAGTTTGTGCCTGTGCAAGTGCTCTCTTGCTTTGCTTGTGGCAAGACCTTTAGCCGAGCTCGAGAAGAAGATAGCAACCAGAAGTGGCATGTGTCCAGTCTCGGCCGCAGGCTGCTGAGACTGATGCGCAAGTTTCAGCAGAGTAGCGGGACGGCCACCAAATGCTGCGGTGATGCAAAAGTGCATTGAGTGTCCGTACTGTGAAAGTTCCCTTGAAACTTCCTTTGATTAATGCCAGGTGTTAGGTTGATTCACCACGAATCCCCGGGGCCTTCACTCTCGAGCATGGCATTGACATGGATTTTTCTCGAAGTCGATGAACAACATCGATGCTTTTACCCGGCGTCAAGGAGATGGATGGACCCGATGTGTCCTCTTCTCAAAAAAAGGGACTTCCTCCAGGGACATACATGGACTGATTGTAACTATGTGTTGCTCACATGAGCTACACAATTTCGCACCTTACATGAAGGAGACAAGCCTTTTTCTGGGCTATACAGACCGGTCGTGTTTTTTTGCTGTTTGGGGTCGAGGCTGGTGTAACTGTCCAAATATCTTCTTCACCAGTTTCACTAGATTTACATTTGGGGGTCGTGACAACCAGGAAGCGAAAATGCTGAAGAGTCGGCTGAGATAAGTTTAGACACATAGAGGCCCCAGGTGAATCAATATCAAAAACCTGTATCAACATGGTTGACCCAGACCCATGCAAAGAAGTAAGACGGCGCAGCTATTTCGGGCTGGGACCGTCCCCTACATCTACGCGCGGGGTAGCCCTTCAGCCCAAGCTACTACCTGGTGTGAGGTCTGCAGCACTGAGCTGGCTCTTGCCGGGGCATCCTCAAACTTGCTGCACTCCGCGAGCAAAATGCCGGCAAGCACCGGCAACACTACGCTTCCCATCGCGGTCGGGGTAAAGTGAGTTGCCTGAGGCGGTATCCTGAGGCGCTATGTATCTGGAGCCAAGGCAGCACAGGTCGATCCCCTGTGTCTCTGAAGGGTGGGCACAATTGCAGCTTTTGGAGCCTTCCTGGCGGTGCCCCTTTGGGTTGTCAAACTTTTCTAACCCTGTTTGGATGTTCCGCTAACTTAGTCAGTAAGTTGTTGATAAACCGGGTGACAACCCACTCAAAGAGCCCTGCTTAGATGTAAGTAGTGGGTTATAACCATGGTGGCTAACTTGCCAACTTGTCAACGAACATCCAGGTGCCGCCTTTGAAAAGGGACCCCGAAACGGGCCCCCTAACTTTAACAACTTTGATAGGCCCATCGTTTTAGGTTGCCGGCCCGGAAGCATCAGCTGGCGCCAGTCCCTTCGCTTTTTCCCGCTGGAGCCCCGGTCTTCCCACTGGAGCAGCTTGGTGACCTCGGGAAAGGTGCAGCTGGGCCAAGAAAACAGGTTGGTCGTTTCTTTCGGTTTCCGCTTGGCTTGCCTTTGGCACCAGCCACAACGAATCCGCAATGTCAGGAACGTTTCCCTCCCAAAGCACCGAAGGACGGCCCTTTTAACTAAGGAACAAACTTATACCTTCCGTTGGGTTCCATTTTTGTTTGGTGAAGGTGACTTTTTGAATCCTGAGGTGCCTAACCCCTGCATTTCTGACTGAGTTGCCGGCAGAAAGCAACAGCGGCTCCGCGGTCGTTGACAGGTCTTCCAAGGGGTTCGCGACTTTCAGTAGCCTTGCATGTGCTTAGCGCGAAAGGCGCGGCTCAGGGCAGGTCCCACGCTCTCTGCCGGCCAACCAGGGTTTGCAACAAAATCAACCAAAAAACAGGCCAATGTCCTCGAAAGCGGCAAACTTTTTTAAAGCACCTATTCGAGGAAAGTGCAGGCGTCACATCCCGTCTTACCAGTTCAAGCCTCCTCAAGCTTGCCCTTTTCAGCACCGTTTTCGGCGAGGTGCAGAAGACGATCCAGCTCCCTTCGCAACTCCTTGAAGAGTACGGCCGCCTTTTCGTCCTTCCAGCCAACTTCGAAGTCCGAAAGCTCCACACCACTGAGGTCTCTCTGGTCCCAGCCACTCTCTAATTCTGTGAATTTATGTGAGCCTGTGCTGGACTGACATGGCAGTGCGTTGGGCAAATGATGTGGTCAAGCACGTGTTGCACTTGTTGCTGCTGCTGATGCTGTTGTGTCTGTTGTGGTTGCGGTTGCGGGTGTGCTTGTCGTTGTTCTTGTTGCCGCTGCTGCCGCTGCTGCTGCTGCTGGGAATTGGTGAAGTATGCATAAAAATAATCATGCATAAGGTCACCCTGTTGGTGGTGCATTCGTAGACATAGAACCGCCATCCAAGCCGCGCTTTTCTTGGGCGAGGCTGGCAGGAATCGGCACCAAGGTGTAAAGCACGTCTGGCTTCCAACATGTTTGGTTCACACAGTAAATTTATCTTTTAAATTCAAACGGTTTCAATAATTATTTGTATTATTTAATAACAATAGTTTTATTATTATTATTTATATTATTTAATTTAGTAGGTGAGAGTGAAGTGATTCACAGGTGGCAACTTGTGAGCTTGACTCGCTTGAGGAAATGCTCAATGGCCTTTGGCAATGTTACATTCACGATTGATGAAGTTTGAAAATGATTGCTGTGCGATGGGCGTACACAGAGGCCACCATGGCATCGGCAAACTCTAAGTGTTCTGTTCATGCGGCGGCCGCCACGCCACTAATTGACACTGGTCATCCACATGTGTTACGCTCCGTTTTTTCATATCCATTTGCGCAATGGCCTTTACCGCCCCTGCGCCTAGAGGAACTCTGGATGCATTATAAGCGAGCATGGAGTCTTGTATAAACATGCACGCATACGCGTATGTATATATATATATACAAAACATATATGTATATGTGCGTGTTATATGTGCATGTTGTGGAGGATTTCTGGATTTTGGGAACCCCTAAAGATCTGGCCTCGCAAGCAAGTGCAGCTTCAGCTGAGGGCCCGCTGGTTGCCACGCGTTCCGAGCCAGCGACGGTCCTTTGCTTCAAAGACCATGCCATCCACCGTCACCTTATTCCGCTCCTGGCTTCAGCTTGAGAATCGAAAAATAAAAAGGGCAGCTTTCTTGAAGACATGCCGAAGAATTGGACTTAAAAAGCTGACTCCTGAGGAATTTGCTTATTCTTCCCTGAAATTGGAAGAAGCTTACAAATCTTGCTAGCAACAAGACGAAAAGCTTCGCATCTCCAAGCTTTGAGGAAGGAGCCAACGCTTCACGAAGAATGCGCTGATCTTATGACTCTATGGATGGCGAATGTCTCAGACATCCACGATTCCCTCTCTCTCTGCGCAACAAGCCCATAGAATGGGCCATAAGAACCGTGGGTGTCGTCTTTGCGAACCAGCTCATGACCACAACGCAAGGCGATGCAAGCTTCATTGCCATGAATCATTCCCAATTTCCACTCCGTACTGCCAGCCACTCAGTCGCTCTTCCCCCCGCAAAAGGTCTAAGTCACACCAAAAACCAACTCTGAGGCTTGCCTCAGCAACGCAAGTCAAAAAGCAGTGGGACATGGCCTGGCTGTTGCGATGTGCATGGCATGCGATGAAACAGTTTAAACAAGTTAGCGTGTACCTGTCTACATCTGTATACAAATGTCAATGCATGCGCATAAAATGACTACCTGCATATAGGAAAACACATATATTTATCTATACGTATATGTATAATATTCTTAATATACCCAAACGCCATTCATATTTTGTCTGCAGTTTTTCACTGGGGAAGCCGAAGCACGGATCCCAGGCATTTCGGGCTGGAAAGCTGCCTCTCCCAGCGATCCTTAGGCAGAATCTTCAGCTCCCCACCGAAGAGGAGGATGGGCAAGGAGCCTGCAGCGCCGCCTTCTAAGGGCAACCTGTTTTTGGATGGTTCTCCAGTGGAGAGGTTAGAATGAGGGTACCCGATTTCTTTCAGTAGTCTATTTTCAGTAGGGGAACCCTCCCAACCAAAAAAAAGAGAAAAGGGCACTACTGGGGGACCATGTTTTGATGGTCGATGTTAAAGGGAAGCCCTTCCCAAAAAAGGGAAGCTACTGGGTCATCACCCCAGGGATGCGTAATCCACAGTTGGGCCCAGGGTAGTACTGGATCACTGAGACCAAAAGCCTGCAAGAAGCTCGAACCGGAAACCCCAACGGAAAGGAGTTTCTCGGTGCGGCGTGCGATGGAGCATGCACATCAATTAGACAAAGTTGTCGCTTGCCTCTCAGGAACTGGGCTGTTCTCAGATTCAGGAACGCGATGGCTGGGAACCACCAAAAAGAGCATTTAGACTGGTGGGGATGCCCTTTCGCTTCCCGAAGGGTTTCTTCAGAATGAAACCTACAGAATTACCCGTGGAAGACAACCCTCCCAATTCTATAAAGATGGATTTTGGGGCACGTACCTCCGTGTAACCTACGCGCAACCACCAATTTTGTGGTATGCCCCCATGAGAACCACAAATTTTGGTAAAGTTGGCTCTTGGATAAAGAGAGCTTCTTTCATGTTCCATCTTGGGCTCCGGTCTCTCCACATCCCGCCGAGGAAAAAAAACTGCGTTGCTTTCCACGCCTACCAGGGTGGTGTCGTGGAGGTAGACCTGCGACGTCTTCACCTTGTCGTGAAAGAGCAGCCACCCGTGGTTGGCAGCGAATTCCTGGGAGATGTTCCCCCAGGTGCCGCACTGAAGGCATGCTATGATCCACAGATTGCCCGAGTGCAACGCACAAAGCACGGCTAGACGCTGCCTCCTGCCCTGCCTTACATTGTTTCTTTTGAGCTACTGACAACCGGAAATCTATGGGGAATGGCTCTTGAGAGGAAGTGTGCCCCCCCCAACTTGCAAATGGGAATGCCATCTTTTAAGAAAACTGCCAGGACCATTGCCAACATTTGGCTCAAAAGGAAAAGAGACAGATAGTTTCAGCATCTGTTACCCATACCTCAGAAAAGAATAAGCCCAGGTGGTATCTCAACAGCCCCTTCAACCCCCTGGAATCGAATCTCCTTTTGAACCTCCCTCCCTGAAAGCTGACCCCAGAGCCGCCGTTCTGGGCAGAGGGACCAAAACCTATAGCTTTCCGCTGTTGGGGAACATGAAACCGCAGTGCTACACCCTCACTAAAAGCAAAACTAATCGGAGACGTTCCCCTCCAAAAGTCATGATTCCCCACATTTCACCCAGGGACACCTATTAAATGAGCTGGGGTTGATGAAGAGGGGGTCAACATTTGCCAACCTCTCTATCGGGGGGATAAATAAAAAAAAAAAAAAAACACTTCTGGTGGAGCCCCCGGGTTCCGGGCGACACGGGCGACTCAGCTCTGAGTGCCGGACGCTCCCCTGCTTGAAGTTCAAGCTCGAGGGGTGTGGAGCGCAACGTTCCTGCTGCCGGCTCACGAAGATGGAGTACCTTGGCTTACCCCTTAAAACTCCCTGCGCCCTGGGGAAGTTCTCATCTATTACAGACATATAGCCCATGTTACCCAAAAAGTTGAGAAAAGTGGTGTTTTTAAGAGGTAAGTTGGGAACATCCGCTCCGGCTCCGCCGAAGATCCCGGCCATGGTCAAACTTATGCTCGGTTGCGAAATCTGCTCCCCTGGAAACAGTGACTCACTTTTAGTGCTTTGATACGGAAAACCCATTAGTTGGCAAAAAGGTAAAGTTCTAACATCCCTTGGCAAAATGCGCAGTATATGTTTCACATGGAAGCCACTGAAGCCACCAGGAGGTCCCAACTAATCAAGAGTTTGGTCTAAGGGGCTCAAGTCAGGCTACACGTTGGGTAGCCAAACAGAGCACGGCACAGATTCCTTTGGAACAACTGCCGGGAACGCATTCGCTCTTTTTCACGAAAAGGGTCCTGGGCGCCCGTGAGTTCCTGGACCTCGTACCTTTTGGGGTTGGACCATTTTGCTGGCTACTTGTTTTTGAAAGCTGACTCGATGGGAAGTGAGGTATCCCGTTCGCGGTATCCTCCCGGCAAGTGAGACCTACTTGAAGTGAAAGAGCTCGAAAGGGCAGATGTGACAAAACCGACCCCACCCTGCCCCCTGAGGTTTGCGAAAAATTGCAAGCCAAATTACGAGCGATTCCGCACCCAAAGCACTCGCAGCCGACGAAAACAAAAAACACGACCCCGCGATTCGTGTTTGCTCCAGCCGGGCCGCGGTCTTTGGGAGTCGCACTTGCAATCCGAACCCGTCTCGACAGAAGCCAAAGGTCTGGTTAACATCAAAAGGTCAGTCGCCCTGTAAAGACCTAGAAATCAAGGGTCGTCAAAGCTGATGGATTCAGAAGTTGAGCCTTCATGGCCAGTTGCACGCAAGTCTTGTGACACGCAAGTCTTGTGAGCAAAAACACGGATCTCCCGGCAAAACATGAAGTGGACCAACCCCGCAGCATGCAGACGTTTCTTGCTTTGCCGTAAATGGAAACAAGTCTTCCAAAGGGGTCCTGGAAGCTTCCATGATAGACTGGGGGGGGGTAGCTGGTGGCTTGACCTGGCTTGGGGACTTGAACCACGGCTTCTTTTAAAGGGTAAATGGGAAACCACCCCTAACCACCAAACCACCAAACCATGAGGGCACTTCGAGCATCACAAAAGTCGCCAGCATTCCACCCACATCGTTCCCAGGATTCCGACCAACCCAAAAAAGACGCACTTCTTGCGGCGGGGCGCGTGCCGCGCGCGTTGCTCTGGCGCTGCACTTGCGCCACGTTGGGAAAGAGTCCGGCGCAGAGCACGCAACGCCTGGGCTCCAAATGGCCCAATCTCGAGCCTCTTTGTGAGTGGATGGCCCCAACAAGAAACTGTTTTGTTGCTTTTGATCTAAATAACTATACATATATATATATGTCTGTGTGTATTTTGTTGCCTCCAAGTACAACTAAAAATTGTGTGTGTGTGTGTGTATGGTTTTGACGGTCAGGGTGACAGGTCCCAAAAAGTACCCAAACTGTTATGTCTCACTAAAATGGTCCTGACCTTCAAAAAGTATCAAATCCTTGACCTCAGGAAGTGAGTCTTGAGTCAACAGGGCGACAGGTCCCAAAATGCGTAGTCCGAAGAAAAGGAGCCGAGTATACCCAAGTAGCCAATTTTGAGAGCTTCAGTCATGACAACCCTTAAAATTGCATAGTCCGAAAAAAAAGGGAGCCGAGTATACCCTTGCCAAGTATCCAGCCATTTTGAGCTTACGAATGGCTCCCTGCATCAATTTCTTCGGGGCCAATCTGCTTGCTTGGTCATTCCAACAGTGCCCCTCGCGTTCGATGGGAGTCGCTAAGAAAGAGGGGTTCAGCTGGACACTGTTGGACAACAAGAAGCAGGAAAAAACAAACATTGGGGTCATCCACGAGCCGAAAAAATGAGCCTTCTTCAGTACCCATTGGCGACAATAGAGGGTGCAAGTAATAAATCTCGGCCTTTGACGCGCGTGTTGCCCTGACCCACCCACAGGAACTAGCTCAACCAGTGAGCAGGCTATCTCACAGCCAAGTAGCACCAGCGAAAGATCCTTCCGATACACGTTCACCTGACAGCACTGTCGCTAGCCCCGGATTGCTAAACCCGTTTGTTTCATAGGTGTCCCCTTTTAGCGGGAATCCTTCACTTTTTCAGTTTTGTAGGAGGCACACCCATACTAGTAGGATGGGCTTATTAATTCGGCAATCTGCAGCAAGGGCGAAGCGGGCTGTGCCCAGAAGGTTGCACAAAATGATCCCCATCTGTTTCTGACACTCACCAAACCCGATTGAAGATGCTGCCTTCTGCCCCCCTCCCAACAAAAACGGAAACAGGCGGAACAACAGCTGCAAACGTTGTCAATGCTTCAGCCAATGCTAGTACATCTCTTGGATGCACATGAGCTGGCCGGAAATAGTGTAAGAGCCTTACTATGGGTGACCTTTGGACAATTCGATGGGTTTCCATGGTAAGTAGGGCATAAAACCAAACTCGCCGATCGAAAGGACACCTACGATTCTCACTATACTTCGCTTGTCTGCGCAACGGAAAGCTGCGGTTGGACGAGCTGAATTTAGCTTTAAAGCGCCCGCTTTCAAGCTTGGTCAGTGCCAGTTTTTTTTTTTTTGTTTTTTTTTTTTAAGTCAAGCATGACAAACGAAATATGGGTGGCCCTGTCTCTCTCTTTAAAAAAAAGAAGTTTAGGGAAACCAAAGGAAAACCGCCAAACAATGGGGGCTCCCCTCAAGAAAGCCGTGCCCGTATCCTCCGACTTTCTCATTGTCCTCGCAGGGACCGGAGCAATTGAAGAGGGCTGGAGAGGACTGGAGAGGCCTGGATTGAGGGCCCAGGAAGTTCCCCCAGGAAGTTCCCCCCAGAAGAACCTTGCCAAGGGTGTACGGCACAATAGAACTTGCCTTAAAGCGGCAAATCATTTCACCTTTGCAAAAATAGCGCCTTTCCAGCACCGCGAGTGTTCTCTATCATGGTAGGGAACCCCCCTGCGTCTTCGACATTGTTGTCGCACCCGGGCCTTCTCTCCGCCGTCCTCCCCCGACGCTTCCGCAAAGCCCGTCTCAGCGAGGTGTCGGAGGAACTGCTGGCGCAATTGCGCCTAAGCTCAACTTCTCCTTATTTGGATTTACATTGCAACCTAAAACAAGCTGCATGCGGTCGGGCAACTGTGGAGAGTGCAAATGGCCACCTCATTGCGCCTGCAACTGAAGAGCCACATTCGTGTTTCAACCAACCCTCAGCAGCATTGGCGTGAACTATTTCAGGGTCAGAGATGTCAGGCAAAACCGTGGCGTGTCACCAATTGTCTTGGGAGTCCCCAAAGTGACTGCAGAGATGCGTAGGCACACCCACAAAGTACCGGCCCGTGCTCAAGACATGTTGCCTTCGAAGAGTGTCATGCGGAGTCAAGGCGCTGACGTGGCAAATGAATGGCCACATCTGCCAATTGGGGGTGCTTCTTGGCCATAGGAGCGCCAACAAACGTCACTCCTCAAACAAACAAGACGTGATAAGGCCATCCTTAGGGCAAGTTGGCCTGTCGTCAATTCCTGACTTCCGATCGATCGAGTGGATTGGCCAGGAGAAGTCTGAACTTTCGGTTTACCGCAAAAATGGTCTTCCCCAAAAGTATAAAGTCCACTCAGGAAGTGAGATTCGGCCTTTCCTTTCCACTCTGATACGCCTCTACGGCGCACTGTGGCGTTGAGGGAAGCTGTTGGCAGAACATAGCTACATGTCAGGGCTGAACAAGCCATCACCGCCGCCAACACTTCCCCTGCGGTTCAGTTGCCACTATTAAAACACAACCACCAGCATTTGTTTGAGGATTTCATCCAAGATGGGTCAACCATTCTTTTGATGGAGGTTGGATCCAACATTCAAGGAGAACAAGCAGGTACGCTGGAAGCTCAAGGCATGCACTCTCACCCCCGCCCAAACTCCCAGCTGTTCAATGGCCCTGGTACAAAAGGAACCCCCTCTTGCGAGTATCCCTTTTTTGGCGGGCAACAAGGAGAAAGAAACAACCTGGATAGCCAAGTTGCTGCTTTGTTCAGTCACTGTTGCTGGTTTTTGGGGTAAAGTAAAAAACACAGCAACTGGCGATCCAGGAAGTTATTTCCCACTAAACCACAATAAACAAACATGTAAAATGTTTCCCAACAACAACCCATGTTTTTCGTGGGCAAGGAGAAACAAAACCAGTTGGCCACAACTGGATGCCTGCAGGCCGAGGATCCACATCATCTAACACCGATGAGGACAAGCCAAATCGGTCGCAGACGTACCACGCGCTCTCCCGGTCGCCCTGGCTCTTTGGCTCCTGGTACCTCGTGCAAGATACAAAGTCGCTTCCGATCGAGTGGGCTGGCCGATTTTTGTGTAACCAAACTTGTTTTTTCTACTAAAATTGACGTCCCGTCTAAAGTCCAGAACTCAGGAGGTGCGTTAATTGTGGGCAAGCTATATCGTTTTGCACAGCTGAAGCAAAAGTGTTCTGTAGAGGCTGCGGCCGTGCGGGCAAAACACCACTATCGCCAAAGCAACATATCCCACCATCGCCAGAGAGCCGCAATAAAGCCAGTGCTTGAACAGACATGCATGGCATCTTATCTTGGTTGACGTTGGAAGGGGATCAAATAAAAATGCATTTTAGCAGGTAAGTGGTTGGATTTCCCACAAAACCACAAGAAGCAAACATGGTTTCAAATGTTTCCCAACAACAACCATGTCATTGTCATCGTTCAACTCCCTCACGTTGGATTATGCCTTTGCGGGGCCAAAGAACGGACCGAACCTCCAAACCCGCGGGCTCCCCCCGGGCTCCCGGGGCCCGCGCTTGTCGTAGGCCTTGGCCGCCGCAAGCTGGTCGCTGTTCAAGTCCCCCCAGGCCGCCTTGCGCTCTGAGACCTGCTGCTCCTGACGTCAGCGTCCACGTCGCACCCGACCGAGCCCGTGTGGAAGCAAGCTCTTGATTTTTTTGGGCGGGGGGGAAGCGGGTTACAAAGCAAGGTCCGTTTGGGAAGCCCCCCCCTCAAAACAAAAAACAAACACAACTAGACCACGGTTGGCCCGAAAGCAGAACATCGCAAGCGAGGTCGGCCCAACGCTGCAGGATGCGTTCTTTTCCCTACACGAAGCATTTGTGAAGCAAGCGCGAGACAGCACCAGGCAAGGTGCTCTGCGCAAACTGGTCGGTGCAAGTTGGTCTGCGCAAGTTGCTCTACGCAAGTTGCACTGTGCAAGTTGCTCTGCGCAAGTTGCTCCGCGCAAGTTGCTCCGGCAAGTTGGTCCCTGCAAGTGGCTCCCTGCAAGTTGCTCTGTGCAAATTGCGCTCCCTGCAAGTTGCTCTGTGCAAGCTGCTCTGTGCAAGTTGCTCTGTGCAAGTTGCTCTGCGTAAGTTGCTCTGCGCAAGTTGCTCTAGGCAAGGCGCTCTGCGCAAACTGGTCGGTGCAAGTTGGTCTGCGCAAGTTGCTCTGTGCAACTTGCTCTGCGCAAGTTGCTCTGCGCAAGTTGCTTTAAAATGCAAGTTGCATCTTGCGACGCCCGCCCGCGGACCAGGGAGGAATCGAACCCGCGACCCGCCGGTTCCGGGAGCAGGCGCGCGAACCACGAGACAACTCCCGAGGACCAGTTCGAACAACAAAAGTCGCAAAAAACCTCGAGTTTTTGCACCTCGACCACGCCGATCCCCGCAGAGGGTTGCGCGAGCACCGCAGAAATCGCAAAAAACCTGGGTTTTTGCACCTCGACCACGCCGATCCCCGCAGAGGGTCGCGCGAGCAGGTTAGAAATCGCAAAAAACCATGGGTTTTTGCACCTCGACCACGCCGATTCCCGCAGAGGGTCGCGCGAGCAGGTTAAACATCGCAAAAAACCATGGGTTTTTGCACCTCGACCACGCCGATTCCCGCAGAGGGTCGCGCGGGAACTTTAGAAATCGCAAAAAACCTCGAGTTTTTGCACCTCGACCACGCCGATCCCCGCAGAGGGTTGCGCGAGCACCGCAGAAATCGCAAAAAACCATGGGTTTTTGCACCTCGACCACGCCGATCCCCGCAGAGGGTCGCGCGAGCAGGTTAAACATCGCAAAAAACCTCGAGTTTTTGCACCTCGACCACGCCGATCCCCGCAGAGGGTCGATTTTCGTGTAGTGTCGTCGGCACTACCCCGCCGCCCTAAGAAGAGATTTTAACTCCTCGCAAGTCAATTGCACTTGACTCCTTGCACTTGCAACTTGCACTTGACTCCTTGCTTGTTTCAAGGAGTCATTGCAAGGAGTGCATTGCAAGGAGTTGCAAGGAGCCAAATGGAGGAGTCAAGTTGAGAGTGCCAAGTGCATGGAGTCAAGTGCAAGTTGCAAGTGCAAGTTGCAAGTGCAAGGCCAAGTGCAAGTTGCAAGTGCAAGGAGTCAAGTGCAAGTTGCAATCCTTGCCATGACTCCTTGCAATGACTCCTTGCAATGACTCCTTGCAATGACTCCTTGCAATGACTCCTTGCAATGACTCCTTGCAATGACTCCTTGCAATGACTCCTTGCAATGACTCCTTGCAATGACTCCTTGCAATGACTCCTTGCAATGACTCCTTGCAATGACTCCTTGCAATGACTCCTTGCAATGACTCCTTGCAATGACTCCTTGCAATGACTCCTTGCAATGACTCCTTGCAATGACTCCTTGCAATGACTCCTTGCAATGACTTTCATGATGATGATTCCTTGCAATGACACCTTGTAATGACTCTCATGAGAACAACTCAAGTGAACCCAGCGGAAGAACCCTTCGCCATGCTTTCGGGAAAAACATGAAACTGCTTTCAAGATGTAAAAATCATGCAGGCAAAAGTCAACTTTGTTGAGCTAGTTTGGGACCCTTTGACCCGTATGTGAAATGGAGTCTGGGGAGTGTCTGCCTTCACCCGGAAACATGATGATTGCAGACTCCTGCTAGAGGACACGTTAGGAACTTGCCACTGTGACATGCCTCAGAATGCATAAGGAATCCCCCGCAGATTCGGGTCACTTACCCCCTTATAAGTTTTATTCGGGATGCACACATTTTGTATATATGTATGTATGTATGTAGGTAGGTAGGTAGGTAGGTAGGTATGTAGGTTTGTATGCATGCATGTATGTAACGAACACATGAACTTGTTCACCGACTTGGACCATTACGTGAAAATGGGGCCTTCACATCCAATCTACGAAGCGTTTTCGCCACCAACAAAAAGGCGTTCAGTGTGTCTGGGCGAAATGTTTCCTCAGGTCGGTGGAACCCTAACGCCCAGCAAGTTTCATGGCGTCGTTGAGCAGGGCTGTGGGAAATGGAATCCACTATTGTGAGACAACAGAAAGAGCTTCCCAAAGACTATCCCCGCATATAAAGAGGAAATTCCCTTGTATCACAGAAGTGGAGATAAGCCCCTTGATCCCACAACCCTGTTGTTCAGCTCAAGTGGATTTCTGGAAATGATTTAGCTGCTTGCCTCTCACAGGCGGGTCAATCGATCGCCTCGATATCAACCCTAGCTCGGCTTTACCTGCTCTTGCTGGTGCTCAGCAGGGAACGAGAAATGAAATGAAATGACCCGAAGAAAGACCATCCCCGATTTGGTTTTCTTGAAGGGAATCCCCAAACCCGGCTCATTCGCAACACCCTGACTCGGTCATGTCCTACCTATCGCACCAAGTGTTGCGTGAGCCTCGTGTTTACACAAGGAAGCGCCGGGTCCCGTCCTCCTTGGAGCGGTTGAAGCTGCGAATGAAGGGCGATCTCCTGAATCCGGGAGCTGGTAAGCCCAAGCGGCTGTGGGTCAAAAATAGGTACCTGTTTTGGGAACCCTGGCAAATGGAACCAAAGACTAAAACCTGCGGTCCCGTGGTTTAACTTTGACCCATACCCAAGTTACACCAGCCAGCGTCTCTGCAGATTGGGCTTCACTTTGCAGCTCCCAAGACTCAACAAGCACCGGGAAAAAGGGGTTGGCGCCCTTTGACTTTGGGCTACGGTTTAAGTGTGGATCCTGGTGGATCCAAAAAAGGAAGTCACGCTTCAAACTTGAGAGAAAAAGTGCCCGCGTTAGTCAACCAAGGCGGGGGTCTGTTTGGAAGACTTGCTGTGGTACGAACAAACTCGAGTTTCCACAGAGTTAGGGGGTGAATCACATCTGGGCTGTCCTCAGAATCCCTGCTAAAAGTGAAACTGTCAGTGGATTAAATGGAAACCCAACCACTAACCAACAAAAAACCACTAAAAAGCAAAGGAACCCGAAATTGACAGGAACCTAAAAAGCGAAGGAACCGGATGGCTGGGAACCGCCGAGAAATCGAAAGGGCCGGGATCTTCTGTCAGACTCTCCGCCTGTTGCGGGCCAAGGGGCTGCGACAGGCATGCGGCGATGGTCAGAATCGGCGCCAGGCACTTGCAAAGGGACCCGTAGATGAGCATTTTGCCTCAGGAATTTCCGTGACAACTGCAAGGTTTTCGAACCATAATGTTGACCCCGGAGTCATAAACCCTGTTTATGAATAAGGGGGTGTTTCCCTCCAAAAGTGATAGATCCCCACTAAAACCAGAAACACACCAACGTTAATACACAGGGGTTTATTGATCCGGGGTCAACGTTACTTGGGCGCTCGGCTGACTTTGTATGTCTTGGTAAGTTGCTGGGAACCTGGGCTGTAGCCCACTTATAGGTCCCCCGTTTAGCGGGGTTAACCTTGTCATTAGTGAGTTTTTTCCCAGGTGGCTAACCGCTTCCTGGCAACGAACATCCAAGAAGCGAACTGCCAATCAAATTCTGCCCCACTCCTGGAATGCAGAGCCTTCATTCACTGTTCATCAGTAGCCCTGCAAGACCACGCGGCGTGGGGTTTCAAGGCTGGGCAAAAGGAACACGCCTCACTGAATACTGAATGTCCACGATTGGGCTCTGATTACCGCAAATGCTGATTACCGCAAATGCTGGAGCCGCCTGAAAACATCTTAAGTGCTGGATGCCTTCCACGTTTAGGCTGTGTGGTTAATCAAGTGGTGTGCATCCCGAACGAATCCGAGCCAAGATCATTCCAGGATCACACCAAGAATGGAAACGGCCGTGCCAACAGGATCCAACAGCGCTGTAGGGCTTTCCCGACACATCTGGAACTTGCAAACAGGGGAAGGGCAGGGGCTTCTATCTCACGCAAAAAGGAAACGAAACTAGTGGCGTAATCACCTCAAAAGTGAGACACATTTCACCTCAAACTCTACCTTCTCGACTGGTGAAGGCGAAGGATCCAACAAGCCCGGAAAAAGAAGACAACACAAAAAGCAACTGCGCTCTGCACCCATGTTTTGTCCACACCCCCTTTGTATTTGAAGTTGTTCGAACTGCTGGGGCCCTAGAGCTTCATCCGCCCTGCTCCAAAAACTTGCACAAAGTTTCCCGCAGGAAGTTCCTTCCCTGTGAGCTTCCGGGCCAACAACTTGCAAACAACTTGCAGAGAGAGACACCCTTTAACCCCGAAACGTCGTCACGCGCCAAGGCGCCCCAAAAAACTGGCACAGAGACGCCAGTTAAAAAACAAAAAAGAATCAGCGGCGCCACGCGCCGTGGCAACTTGCACAGAGAGACGCCCTTTGCCCGAAATGACCCGAGAGAGGAATGGCCAGCGTCCCGCTTCGAGGCGCCGATGCGCACGTCCACCGGCATATGTGCCAGGTGGAAGCCCAAGGGTGTCAACGCCATGGAGTGCTCCAGCGCGCCGATGGCCACCTCGGATGGGATGGAGGGCGCCTGAATTCTGATCTCCTCGCGCGCGGGGACTTGGCCTCATGTGGCGTGTTCCTTTGGTTTCCGTTTTAAGGCAACCCATAAGAAAACCACTGGAATCCTGGGGCTGACTCACAGTTTCGTTCATCAGGGTGAGCGAAAGGCAACAAGGCAATGCAAGACGGTCGCAAACGGCGACCCAGGATTAACCCGAAACCCAGCTGCTAAAAAAAAAAGGGGGTCCGTTCCTGAATTATGTTTGGACTGGTCTACATGTATTCTTGGAGGACTGCATGTGTGGTTTGGGCGAGCGGTCGGGCCTGTTGGGCAGCACTACGCTTGCGCAGGACATGGACGAAATCTGGATGTTTTTGATTTTTTCTTTTTCCGGGACCCTCCAAAATGGCTTCCAGCTTCCCGTAAACCCCCCCAAACAAGAAAATAGCAACTGGCATTCTCAAACAAAAGACAGACCCAGCAACCAGCAAGGGGGAGGCGGAGGCTCCTTAGACGGGGTCAAAAATTGCGGCAGCGCGCCTACCTGAAGGCGCAAAACGGCAGCGACATGCAGCGACTGCATAGCGCACCCTGAGGAATCACCCAACATTTCGTTCCTCACTTCCCAAGTTGACTGGCCAAAAAAAGCAACCAAACTTGTTAGTTACCACTAAAATGGTCTTTCCAAAACGTTTAAAGTCCATCAACTCAGGAAGTCAGGTTCTGACGTGCACCTGTCAAGATTTCACCCCACGCACTCGCTGCGTCACACACAAAAAAAAGGCGGGCGAGCAGTTCTTGCCGATCCCAGTTTTTTAGCCGAGCTGCTAGGGCCCGAATCGCCCGGTCTACTGCCTCGCATCGCTTTGTGAGAAAGCGTCGACCTTTTCGTGGGCACTGCTGGGATTTATGTCCAACCATTGGCATTCCGAGCCCACCCATCCCGAGAGATGCCATATATGGATACCTGGACCCTCAAACTACCCATAAAAATGGGAGATCACCCCATAATTTTGGGGTCAAACCCATGTTTAAGGGAATTTTGAGGGTTCAGGTATGGGCCAGCTGTGTGTGTGCGTTTTCGGAGTTGGAACCCTCTGTTTTTTGGGCTGGAAACCCACAGGGCCACCAGTCCGCATGACGCAACAAATCGGAGCCCAGGCCTCGAGTGCGGGCGGCTCAGGGGCCCTTCGCAGGAAGTCTCCAGGGTGATCCCCCAGCTCCAGCAGCCGCAGTTGCAGCACCAGCTCCTGCCAATTCCGGGACCCAAGGCCGCCAAACCAAAACTCACTTCCGATCCCAGTGGGTTGGAAGCAAAAAAAGTCCCCAAACTGTTCATTCACCACTGAAATGGTCCTCCCCCAAAAAAGATAACGCCCAGGAACTGAGGAAGTGAGAACGTCCAAGTATTACCTTTACCAGCTATACGGCCCGGCTGATCAATATGTCTTACATCATCCGCTTTAGCATCGGCAAGGAGCTTTGCGACTTGGATCCGGTGGTTTGCGAAGGCAACTTGTTCACGGCGGGCTTCGCGGTCAACCAGGGCTCGAGGCGCATGACCCTACTGTGGGGGTGTTTCCCTCCAAAAGTGATGGATCCCAACTAAACCCAGGGACCCCCCTCAGCTTTCTCCATCACACTCCCCTTCCTGTCACCTACTTTATTCCGCACACCCTTCCTGCCAACCTTGGCGAGTCTTTTCGGAAGGAGTGGGTGTTGAAAGGAAGGGTAGTGACGTGAGGAACGGTCGATCTTCTCTCCTCCTCACCCCTCAGCCGTTGGCCTTCTCATGGCCTTAATGTAAAGAGCTTGAGATGTTGCGAGCCAACGGATAGAGCGAGCTGGGGAAACAAGACCTTGGAAGACAATCAAGTGAAGGAGGGTGAACAACAGGGGTTCGATAGTCTTGGTGGCTCCCAGCCATCCGGTTCCTTGCTTTTTAGTTTTTTTGTGTTTAGTGGTATCCATTTAACCCACTAAAAGTTATTCACTTTTAGCGGGGGATCTGAGGGCAGCCCAGTAATCCGGGTAGGATAATACCGCGTAGTCCACGCGAAGCCTAATGGGCCCTGTCGCAAAGCCCAATGCGTGTCCCCCACTGGAGTGTAATAAACTGGGGTTGATTAATCTGGGTCAACATTGCCCAAAACAGATCCCCAAACCCCGGCCCTTGCGCATGTTGCAAACTTCGGCCATCGGCTGATTGAAGCTAGCCAACCTGGAGGCTGTTTGACGAAACGGGAAAGCAATGCCAGCCGCACATCTAAGACGGGGCAGCACTGGACAATTCAGTAAACTTTTGTAAAAAAGTTGGAAACCCATGGTGGGTTGTTTGTCGAAACCTTTTCCCACTCTTGGTTGTTTTGCCATCTTTCTTGGACCATCTTTCTGTGTAAGAAGGTCCGTGTCACGTTCCATCTTAGTGCATCAGCTAAGCATCGAAACAGATGACTCTAGGGTGCTCCGGAACTTTCCAGGCGAAACATGGCACACCCACCAACACAAAATGAAAGGCAGCTGGATGTGCACGCAAGGGGCTTGTTTGGACTCCCATGCAGTCTGACCCAGTTTGCGGCTGGACATATTGCATGCATCAAGCAATGGGAACCAGCAGCCAAGCGAAACCACTTAGTCAAAAAAGGGCGCCCCAAAACGCCCTAATGATGACCCTGGATTAGTGAACCAGGTATATGGAAGGGGGGAAGGGTTCTGACTTCGACGCCCAAATGTTGACGCTGTTCAAGCCAATACCTGCACCCAAACCAAAACACACGAGATTGCTTTGAATGAGGCAACTGTGCATTTGACGGCTTCTCTCTAAACAATTTGAGGAGGCATCAACATATTTAATTAAACCTTGAGACTTTTTCTGCACCTTTGATTGCAAGGTCCACGTGTCACTCATGGCATGTGAGGTAGCTGTCCCTTGTTAAATCTCATTGAGATTGGCTTGTTCCTGACTGGGGCAGCCCTCCAAGCTTCTGACAAGGGTCCGAATCTCTTGGCTAGCAAGCAAGGAGTCTCGGAAGAAAAACTCTCAAAACTGGATCCCCTGCTTGATGACTGGAGGACCTAAGGGGCCAACATAACTTTTCCAGGCTCTGCTTGCGCTTCGGAGCAAAAAAGCCACGTTTAACTCTGGTCTGTATCTAGTAAAACCTTCAAATGGGCATGAATGGTGGACATCAAAAGTCGGCGGGTCCCGATTTCCACGCCCACCACTTCAGCTGGGTGGATTCAACTCAGAAAATTCGAATGGCCAAATGGGCCTGTCTGTTCGGGTGCCCCCTTTTCTTGGTGGTTTTTGAATAAAGGATCACGAAAACAACACATCCATTTTTTGGGGCCCCCTGACACAAGACAGACCTAAGATCTCACTTCCCGCCTCCAAGGGGGTGCGCTGCATCTCGCAAAGCCTTCATTCGGCGAAAAGCTCACAAGGCTCGCGCCAAGTGGCAGTTTTCGGCCGCGAAAAAGAACAACTTGGATAGGCATCGCCATCTGAAATCGCCACCTGGAAATTGTCCGATCGTGCATAAGAAGCGGGAGCTGTCCCAACCTGTATTTTTGTCAAACGCCCAGCCCTGACTCATCACAGCAGAACAAAAACAAAGTTTCACTAGGGTATGTACGCCCTTGAGCCCTAGCGCGCCCGACTTCGCACCTCCGTACGTGTTCTTGCAAAGACAGGAATGCCATGGAGCTGGCAAGTCGCTTGGTTCCCTTGTTCAACCGGCACCCGCATGGGTCGCTCCGCGTCAAAAAGAAGAAGCAGGAAGCGAAGGCAGGCCACCCCCCAAGCGACCACACCCTCGAGGGCTTGTCAAGTCATGTCGCAAATGCGAGCCAACAAGGAGTGCATCAAACAGCAAATCACATGGGTGTGTCTTTTTTCCGGGACCTCCTTCTGGGGTGGTTTGAAAGGGACCCCAAAAGGACACCAACTCTGGATTGGCCAGAAAAAGTCTGAACTTTTTGTTTGCCACTAACATTGTCTTCCAAAATAAAATGGTACACATCGATCGGTATCAAGTCCAGGAACTCGAGCCAACGATGTTGGAGGGTCAAAAAGGCCACACCCTGATCAAATTATCAAGCTTCTTAGATACACGTTGAACACAACACCGCCCTGCTGCTGATGCGTTCCATAGAGCACCTAGACAAAAACAGGTTTGATTGCGCATGCCGCAAAGAAACAACATCTGCTGAAAAACACCTTGTTCATTTCCACAGGCGGAACCGCAAAGGGGGCACGAAAAGAGGTTCCAGTCTTTAACCAAGTTTCCGGTCTGAGCCAGTTTTTTCCTTGTTTTAAGAAGACCAAAAAATGACGGTTTTTCCTTGTGGTTTCCCTTGAAACCCGCAAGAAAGGGCTACCCTGAAAAAGAGACACGACAGAGCCTCTGAGCAACCTGGCCAGCTCGTGGTCAAATCTGTCAAGGCACGTGTACTTGGGCAGATCCTTCTCGAAAAAGTCCGGCCGGCAAAGCCGCCAGCACACACCTGGGGCTCACGCACCAGGGATGCTTCGAGCCCTCAAACGCAGCGTGGCACCAAACTGCAACATAATGTGCTCTAGCCTGGGGTATCGCCGACCGGTTGGGGTCTGACATGGCCTGAACTGCCATGGGGCACGAAGGGGAGGGAGGCAGGGAGGAAGGGAGGGAGGGAGGAAGGGAGGGAGGAAGGGAGGGAGGAAGGGAAGAAGGGAGGGATGAGGGACGAAGACGATCATGAGGAGGAGGAGGAGGAGGAGGACCTGAAACAAAAGGTTAACCTTTTAAAGACCTTTTTACCGAAAATGGAGCAAACTAGGAAAACCAAAAGGTCAAAAGGTTGGCTTTGGGCAAGTGAGTTTCAGGAACAACTCAGGTCTTTGAAAGCTTCACATTTCCACTATTGAAACTGGCCCCCGCAAAAGCCGTCGCCAAATGTAAATGTGAAAATGTGCCATGGTCAAACCCCAGAAAGGTGTACCAAGGCCAATGCTCTCGAAGAAATCCTCGCAATAGCCACGTGCAGTGCAACTTCAGGGCCCGTGACCATCCATACCCAGATCTTTTGCCCAAAAATCGGAAGACAAACTGGACAAACCGGTTCTAACACACAGGTTCCTGCTTGATCATGTGTCAGTCCTTAGAACCATTGGCCTCCATTTGCCTAAGCCCCAAGTTAAAACAGAAGGAAGAAAACAATCACCGCATATCTCCAGCGATAGGCTCCCTTGCAAGCCAAACATAGCCAAACATTCTCTCGGTTGCACCTTGGCCCGAAAATAGAAGGGTACCCTGTCTCCCACATGTCTACCACTAACATAGCACCTCACAGTCTCTCCAAAAGGAAACTGATCTTCCAGGTACCCTCCCGCAGCTGCCACTAACATGGGAGGATGGGTATCCTTTGGGCACCTTGACTACGCACAGGCCAAAAAGGGAAAACCCGAAGTCAAAAGGTCGATTCGCTTTGGTTGCAAGTGACTTCTGAAACGCAAAAAATTGGAAGCCGATGCTCACCCCACAAAATGATTTTCCTTGGCGGAACCATACCAAAAAAAAAACTGGCAGATTCGAGAGGCTTTCCCAAAAGTGAGACAAATCCCTCGATGGGACGCTTGCGGTTGCTTTCAAAAAGTGGTTGATCCGTTGGCACGGGATCCACAGCTCCATGGGCTGTCCTCAGATCCCCTGCCAAAAAGGTTTAAACCTTTGGTGTGGGTTACATGGTTAACCCATAGGTGTCCTTTTGGGAAAATTCATGGGCTTCCCTGGTAAATGGAATGAAACCAACCTAAACCAGTGGAACCCATCTATTTCTAGCCTAAAAAGGACACCTATGGGTTAACCTTCCCCTAAACCAACTAAAAGTCACACAAGCAAAAGGCGCCAACGGAACAAATTTGAGTCAATAATCCCAAAACCTGCAATCAGGGATCTTCGCAAGTAAAGAAACCACGTTTCCATTGACTAGGTCCTCCAGTGGAGAGGTCAGAATAAGCGTTCCCTCTTTTTGTTTGTCTATTTTAGTATAAGGAAACCCAAAAAAGGGGTTAAAAAGGGCACCTAGCTGGGGGACCTAGTTGAGCTCTGGAAGCAAAAAGATCCTCCTCCGCCTCGCTTCGCATCGCTCGCGTCGCAACCGCAGGGCCTGGGCGTGTGCGCCCGGCGCGGCCCGCGCGCTGCTTGGCGGCGGCCTGGCTCACCCAGACCGTGGAGAACCTCGCGGCGCATGCGAATGCGCATGCGCACGGCGACGCGAAACGGTGGGTGCCTCGTCTTTTTTGGAGAACCCCCCCCCCCACTCCCTCAATTTGTTGACTTTCCCTTTGTGGGTGATACTCCGCGGGTCATATTTGTTGGCTCCTCTTGCAAGTATGGGTCGACCCTTTGTGGGGCGTGCCGCCTTTAGCCGGCGGCACGACATGTCAACAAGGCGGAATGACCTTCCAATTCAATTAGCGTAAGCAACTGACAAGGAAGATTGTGCAAGGGCGATACACCTAGTTACCCATGCTCGCTTCCACAGAAACCTACCCGCCTCCAACTGGCTCCAAGTTGTCTTTTTGCCCCAAGTGTCTCCGATGGTTTTGTACCCAAAAGCTTGGCGCCACAACTCCCTTGACCGACGGCAGAGCTGAGGCGAGCTGCACGCTCGTGGAACTCTGCGGGGAAAAGCGGGTCTCCTTCACATGGCAGGAGTCAATCACGTGGGTGACGTCGTCGATGGTGATGGATGTCTCTGCCTGCCAGCAGGCGAGCGAGCCGCGAATGGATTGGATGGATTGGTGGCCAGCACGGGTAGGCCGAAGCCGGGGATCGAAGCAATTGGAAAGCCTGTTGCGAATCATGAAACTTCCATTTGGTTAAGACCCTGGAAAAAATATAAAAAAGAATATCTCCAGAAGTGATAGATTCCCTTTAAAGCCAAGAGGGAAAAAAACATATTCTTAAGCAAATGGAAGTAACGGCTTCTACCAGCGCCCAGGGCTTTCCCGTTTTGTTGAAAGAGCAGTGCGCGGCCTTTGCACCACGTTCCCCCCTTTGGCTGGAGTGCACGCCAACGGCCACACATGAAGAAGGCCATGAACAACGAAGGGGCCAAGAATCCAGGGGTTGATTCCATGTCCACTCTTTTCAACCATCGTTCTTTTCAAAAACCAGCTGTTTCCCCAGGGTTTTGGGTGGTTTTGTAGAAAGAAGGGATGCCTGGAAAGAATGGAGAAGATACTAGAAAGAAGAGGGATGTCTCATCGATTTGGCGCAAATCCGGGAAGGCTAGTTCTCTTAGCCCCCATATCAAAAAGTCCCCCCCCCCCCCCCAAGTAGGTTGAAAGTCACCCCCCCCAGTTCCAGCGGCTGGGGCCCAGGCGATATTTGTGGAGACCTGGGACGGAGCTCCAGGGCTAGCACCAAATGGGGAGAGCTCCCGTTTCAATCGCGGCGCCATGAAGCATCAGCTTTCAAACCGCTTGGCTGCAAAATAAGCCTGAAGATGTTGCTGGGGCAGGGGATCATCTGCGCACACAAATCTGGATCATCTGTACACACAGGCTTTCCTCACTTATTGCGCCATGCACTCTGGATCATCTGCGCACACAAGGTTTCTGTCATCTGGCTCATCTGTACACACACACACACTTTTGGCAGGGTGGGGGGGTGTGGGAGTTAGACAGGGGCTTTCCCGTCCGCATTTTGCCATCCGGTCCTAGGGTCCCCCCCACACTTTTGGGCACATTCTGAATACGCCCACTAAAACAGCCTATTTTCAACATTCAAATTCAATCACCCAACCAATCCAACACCAAAAAACACATATTCATATACCCATCTTCATTTCTTACCCCATCTCAACATCACCCTTACACTCATTCAATAACAACAATCATAACTACATACCACCTCAACAAATCCCACCAAAAAAATCCAAGCTACATACCAACATTTTTTCATTCCCAAGATCGCAACCCCAAGATCTCAATAATTTCTCCCTTGATCCAACCTGAGACCCTTTCCCATTTCCAACAAATACGAACAGTCTAGAAAAGAACCCTATGTTCGCCCCGAAAAATGGTTAACCAATGGAAAAGGGAGAGTTAAAACCGTTAACCCAAATCTTGAAAACAATCCCAGCAAAATATGGATGGCAAAATGCGGATGGGAAAGGCCTTGTAGGAAAGCACCCCCACGGCTTATACGGGAAAAGTACAGTATAATTATAACATATAAATGTTTACATGTTATAATTATATTATGAGTTCAACTTTATTCTAATTCATTATAAAATTATTCTTCAATTCTGTTTATTATTTTCTCAGTCGTTTTTTCATTATATAGATTATTTCCTATTTCCTTTTTAAACAAGCCCATTGTTCTAATTGCACTTATTACCGTATAACTAAGTTCATCTACATCATACTCACAACTTAAAAAAAAGTCATTATTATTCAATGCTTCTTTCATTAAACGCCTAATTTTAAAAGACATACCATATAATCTGTTTACCAGATTATAATACTTAAAAATAAAATCATTATCATTTCCTTCCTCATCGCCCTTATATAATAAATTTCCAAACTCTTCTTCAGTCAAGAACTTATTCATTTTAATAAACACAACTATTTCTAAATCTTCATCAATATTTTTAACATTTCTAGTATTAATATATTTGCTATTCATATCATCAATTTCGTTTATAATTTTATTGCAATTATCACATATCATACATTGACAAATATTATCACAAACACCATTCAAAAAACCTTGCACCCCTGCAAGAAAAACCTTGCACGCCTGCAAGAAAAATCTTGCCCCCCTCCAAGAAAAAACTTGCACTCTTACTAAGGACAACCTTGCACTAATTCAATGGTTCAAGGACCTTTCAAACTTTGAGAATCTCTGACCTCAAGTAGGGGCGGTTCATCCCTTCAACAGAATAATAATCTTGACCAAGTTTTTTTTCAACCCTTGAAACCTTGTATTTGACACTGCTCCAGTTGCTCGTTCTTTCTTTCTCGGAAATCCCTTTTTTGCGGTATATTTTGACCTCATCGCCAACCCTAACAGGAGGATATTTACGGGTTTTGATTCTGTTCATCTCAAGCTTCATCTTGACCTCAAGATGGTTTCCCTTTTTGTGGGCATCGTTTGGAGTCATATCGTGGGCAGAATGAACCATTTTACTGTTGTATGTCAGCATGATCTCAAGAATGTAATCAACCCATTGTATATTAACCTTTCCCTTTTTCTCGTCTGCCTCAACCCTCTTGAAAAGCATGTCCTTGAACGTGCGAATGAAACGCTCGGCGAAATGGGGGTGCCCTCGCGTTTTATAGTTTTGGATCCCTTCGTCCTTGAAAAAATCAACAAGATCTTGGGCATTGAGACTCCCCTCGTCATCCGAATAAATTAATTTGGGCTTCCCTCCCATTTTGTTTAATGCCTCCATGATCCCAGCCGTGATGTCTGCAGGTTGCTTGGATGCAATAGGCACCACCGCGGCTTTGCGAGAGAATACATCAATAAGCAATAAGCCTATCCTATATTTTTGATTATCTAAATCATTTGTTGATATAAAAAACAGATCCAATTGATATTCAAAGTTGATATCAGGGGCGATAAACGAATTGTATCCAGACAGTTGTTTTTTCCGTTCCACGTTCTCTTGAAACCACTCCTTGACATCTTGCATTGTTATGGATGCATCTTTCTTTTTTGAATCTTTATAAGTGGCGGCAACGCTACCGAACCCAGCCCGATCGTAGTAGACCTCACTGATTATCTTGTCTTTTTCACTCATATATATAATACTATAAAATAAATATCAAAATATCAATATGTTATTTTATCACTGAAGCATCTATTACAAGAAGCACAGAAGGCAATGACATTATCCTTTGTATGGGGAAGATCATTACATAACCTTTGACAAGTCAGATTAGAATTTATATTACCAGAATCCATGGACAACACAAAGCCACAGCCACAATTTGCACACTTTCCATTGACGTTGTCCTTCAACCATTCGGTATCTACATAATTTTCTTTTGGAATACCAAAGCCATTTTTACGATCCTGTTCCTTGTATGCTAACACCTTTCTATCAAAATAATTCATAATGCATTTTGCGTTAAACTCTTCATTTAAATCACTACTGTATTTGTAAAATTTTACTCTGTTTAAATCCCTTGCTCGTGTGATTCCCGTCCAAAGCCACTCGCGAGTTATCAGATGATGGTTCCAATCAAATATCACGACATCGTCATCAATGGAACACCCCTGAACAGAATGACAAGTATAACAGAAGGCAAAGATAAAATGACTTCTCAAGATACCAATATGTAATGTAATCTCTTCTCGTGTTTTGATATTAGCAATGGTAATCCAAGGATCGGAAATATTAATTATCTCATACCTAAAATTCACATTTAACTTATAGGTTTTTGTCTTCCTATACTCTCTGCATATCATGATCTCGCCGACTTCAAACTCATTTTGTTTGCCCTGTCGTTTCCTGATCTGCCTTGAAACCTCTCTACAAGTGTTATTTAAATATGCGACATTGCTTTCTGTTCCTGCGATGTCATCAGTATATTTAAAATACTTATTGATGACATCATGTAGAGACAACTCATGCTCAAAGATGTCGGCATAAATACTTTTAAGTTTATCCTTGTCCTCCTGAGTCTTCAATCGCTTGCACTCTTCCAAAAACAAATGATGGGGAAAAATGCTATCAATACATTCATTCATATAAATCTCGTGTTTCTTAGTGTTAGTCAGTGCTTTTATGGGGCTCAATTGCTTGGCGTCGCCAGTAGCTAATATGATTTTGTTAGCCATATGTTGCTCTACAAAGCCCTTGATTTTTGCCAATACAAAGGTATTATTAAAACAAATCTCATCAAACACAATGACATCAAACATCGAATGATCGTATTTATCTAGCTTCTCGTCATTGACTGCTATACTGAAGAATTTATTTACAGTGATGCTTTCCACTTCGCACTCCAAACCCAGATTATTGGTAGGAACCACGAACAACACTTTATAACCCTTGAGTCTCTCCATGTTTTTGCAGATGGTGGACTTCCCCGCTCCTGCGAATCTGGCTTTGATCATGATGCACCTATGTTTCTCAACAAGTTCAACCAATTCATTTTCATCATACTCATTAATGATGTTAACTCTCTTACTTTTGACAATCGGGATATCAACATATTCACACTTCTTCTGTTCATACAACTGCTTTCCTGTATGATGGATCTCATCGTGAGTCTTGGCTAATTTCCACCCACCGATCCCATCGTGAAAATCTAGCAACTGCTGAGTCTTTCTCAAACCAAACTTATTAAAACCCGAACAGTCCACGACAAAAGCGTCGCATTTGACACTCAATACCTTAACATTGTTCTCTGTCAATTTTTGATATGCGCATTGCATTTTAAAATTATGATACTGCAATAGCATTTCTTTAATAAATCGAAACCCATTGGACAACTCGCACCTATCAACCACATTCAGAATATAATATAAATTGTCGTTTTGTTCAGATACTTCTCTATCACGGCACCACATGCCATTATCATCATATTCCTCAACCCACTTGGCAGTATTCCTGCTCATCATGTTTAACTTCCCCCCTGCATCTGCCTGAAGGCTGATCGCCTCATTGAGATCATCAAACACGAATGATCTCTGACTGCTGTTCTTACTTTTTTCCAACAAGCCAAAAATCGAGTTGGCTATTATTTTTTTAATTGCCTTGTCTTCTTCAATATTTTCGCTTATTCGCTTTCCCCAGAGTTCCTCAACCAACATTTTATTATCTACCTTGTGAATGAAATGTGGC